AGCCACAAACCCGACACCTTTCGGCCTTTTTAGTTTTGACTAATGCCAGTGTGCCCCCTTTTTTTTAAATGCAGACTCCAGTAAACGATTTCACGCTATGAGAACACAAGCCCATGCGGTCTCACAACATAGCCACCAGCGGGTCGGGTGATTGTGGCTGCAGGTGCGTAGCGTTAAGTGTGGTTAATGTGGGCCCAGGTGCAAGGATAATGAGGTACCCCCTCCTCCTCCTCCTCAACCTCCTCCCCGTGACAATCCCCACCGCCCATACGGCCCGCGAGCCCTGGCGCAGTTGCACCGCCTGCACACTCCAGATCTACGCCAATGCGAGAAACAGCAGCAGCAACAAAAAAACACGGCGGTGAAATAAAATAAAATCCAAACGGTCCTCGCCATCTGCTCGAGAGGGTAATCTTGGCCTACTACTCCACGCTGGGTCAGATTTCCACTGCTGGCTTGACAGAGGCAGCAGGGAGGGATTTAAGGCACCAACGTTTAGAACCGGCGTCTTCTGGACGACAAGTCCAACGTGGTACCCAGTACACCACCGTCAGGGCTGTCCATGGGGGGGGGGGGGGGGGGTTGGGGATGACCCCCCCTCTCCCGCCTTCAAAGTAAACCGGAAGTATTAAATTGTGACGTAGTGACGTAGAAGAGCGGGGCAGCCCCCAAAGCGCGGGGCTCGGGGCGGTCGCCCGAATTCGCTGCGGCAGCATCCCTCACGATGGTGGCGGCCAATCGCAATCCACCGCTGTGGATGGCGCGAATGATCGATTTGTTATTCATGTATTGTGTAGGCTTGCGGTGCGGTGGCCAAGCGGATTGTTGGATCCATCTGTGCGGAGCCTCCAGTGTTATCGCATCGTACACACCGGTATGCCGGTTTATACTGTCCCCCCAACCCCCACCGCTTAAAATGCCGAGCCAGGAGATCGATCCAAACTGGTGACATCTGGATTGCAAGTCCGGTGTGTTAGTAAACCATCGGCATCACGGCAGCGTTCTATTGCTTTTTTAAATATTAATTACGAACCGCAACCAATGGGACGATAGCAGAGCGGGGTGGTGGTTGGTGGGTGGTGTGACGGGTGGGAGTGGTTGGTGGGTAGTGTGACGGGTGGTTGGTGGGTGGTGTGACGGGTGGGGGTGGTTGGTGGGTGGTGTGACGGGTGGGGGTGGTTGGTGGGTGGTGTGACGGGTGGGGGTGGTTGGTGGGTGGTGTGACGGGTGGGGGTGGTTGGTGGGTAGTGTGACGGGTGGGGGTGGTTGGTGGGTGGTGTGACGGATGGGGGTGGTTGGTGGGTGGTGTGACGGGTGGGGGTGGTTGGTGGGTGGTGTGACGGGTGGGGGTGGTTGGTGGGTGGTGTGACGGGTGGGGGTGGTTGGTGGGTGGTGTGACGGGTGGGGGTGGTTGGTGGGTGATGTGACGGGTGGGGGTGGTTGGTGGGTGGTGTGACGGGTGGGGGTGGTTGGTGGGTGGTGTGACGGGTGGGGGTGGTTGGTGGGTGGTGTGACGGGTGGGGGTGGTTGGTGGGTGGTGTGACGGGTGGGGGTGGTTAGTGGGTGGTGTGACGGGTGGGGGTGGACTAAACCCGATAAAAAAAACCTGGGCCGGATGCCGAGTGGAGTGGAGTTTTTGGGAAGCCACTGCACTCACGGCACTTAGGGAGTAAAGCCCTCGCCAGCCGCGAGTGCAATTTTAGCCGATTGATCAACTGATTGATTTAAGTGCGTTTTTTTACCGTCAATTTAAGAAACCATTAAACCAACAGTGCGGCCTAATTGAGGTTTGCCAGGGGGGCACGGCTGAGAGCAAGGGGGACCCAGTCGGGCCGAGCCGTGCGGAGGACTTTTGCACCAACACCGCACGGACGCACGGACGAGAAGGGATGGCATCACAATCCAACAGAAACAATGACACTAACGGGGGGTGGGTTTTTTTTGTTTGCCTTACAACGGTATGGCGAGATGTTAACTACCTCGCCTGGTAGCGCAGGAGGTCGTGGGTTTGATCGCGACCACTGACGCCTGCTGTGTATGTGGAGTTTGCGTGTCGCTTTCCCCGTGGTCGCGTGGATTTTTCACCGAGTCCTCCGGCTTTCCCCTCCAAATTTAGACACGCGTTTTGAGTGTTTGGTTGCTATACATTTCCACGTGATAAGCTCACTTCGTTGAGCTATCATTTGTGGCAAGGTCGCTTCTGAAAAAGAGCTACGTAGCTGTGGGCCTTACCTGGTAAAATAAAAAAGTTTAGTTTAAATAATTAGTGCATTTATTTACCCAGGGAAATATCGCCGAGTCTCTAGACTCTTCTGAGGAGGGTCCTGGCACACTGAGATATTTGACAAAGTCCATAAATTAACGGGGAGCTTTCCGATGTCGACCGTATTCTGCTTTGGGCCGCGTGTTTTTGGGCGTGTCCGACGTTTCGCTCCAAGCGTCCGCGAGCTTCTCCAGGAAGTGTGCTCGGTTCGTGGAGCAAGACGCCGAGAGACCCATCGCGCGTGAGAGCAACCACGCGGTAACAACCCCGCAGAAACACGCCGGAGACACTGGACCGCACCGCGTGACCACGGAGAGCCACGCAGTCTGGGAGTCTATTGATGAATAGATGCGAGTTTGGCGCTCGGACCGACAATGAACACGACTGGCACCTCAGTGCCGGATTATCCTCGGAGCAAAAGTAGCTACAAATGCTACGGGCCCCGCACTTTCAAGGGCCCCACGATAAATGCTTTCAAGTTATCAAATCCGGTTCAGTGATTCTGCACTTGCTCTATTACCATAGTACTATACCGCCTTCAACTTTTATGAACGACTGGGCGTTTAATGTTAACGATTTGTTGTATTATCTGGCTGTATAGCAAATAAAAAATACAATTACATTACTGTGCAAGTAAAAAATGTGTTTTGATACTTTTTTATATTTAGGGCCCCCTTTATAACATATGCTACAGGCCTCACACTAGCTTAGTCCGGCACTGGTGGCACCCAATCAATGCCCTATTGACTCGCCTCACCTCAGGCCTTCAAAATATGTATAGGTGATCACTATTTTTTTTTACCAATTTCATTGTGAAAAAGCTATCGGCGACTGGCATCTCGAGACGAAGTATTCGCTCGGATCTCTCGCAGAACAGCAGCAACCCTTCTTCGTTCTAGAAAGTGGCCCACGGAGGTGGACACCACAGAGCTACTGCCCGAGATAATGTCTCGCGCGGCCTCCGTTCCGCACAGGGTGCAGCACTTTTCCCCACCCGCTCTGTCACACAACAGGTAAAGTTTGTGGCATCAGGAGAAACGAATTTTTTTTATTGACAAGGCTGCAATTTAGGCAAATTAAACGCAGCACCACATTTATTGTGACGGTTTATTGTGCAGCCAACGGTGACCGGTCTGAAACCATAGCCTCACTGTGCTTGTGAACCCGGTTTAATCACAACTCAAGTCTATATAATTGCACAAGGAGTCTGTATGCGTGTCTATGGGTATCCGTATATAAGTACTGGCCGTTTCTCTGTTAGTACCTATGTTTCACTATACAAGTCTATGGGTCTCTATGCAAGTCAAAGGAACTGGCTGCACTTGAGAATTCGGTTTAAGCAAAGCCAGTGGCCGAAACCCGGATTATAACCCAGGGGTCACAGCGGTGCCGGCTCAGCACTCTGACCTCTGAGCCACCCGGTGACCTCTACTCAATGATAAAAAACCCAGGCACAGGGAGGTGGGGCGGTGATGTCGGTTTAGGGGGGGGGGGGGTCATGCGCGACGTGGCGGACGTGACTGCAAAAATCACACCGCGGGCGAACGCAGCGAGCGAGTGATCAGGTTCCAAACAATTTCCATAACGCAATTACTGCGGCCGTCGATGCGTGAACAGCATTAAGAATCGCAGCCGTCATCGCAAACCTCGGAGGCTGGAGCACCCCCCCCGCTTCCTAGCTCGCTGCTGCAGCACTTTAGAGAATTCAGAGTAACGCAGCGGTCTGGAAGATCGATAAACCAGCACTCACGGATTCACGACAGTCACTCGCTCACCGGCGGCCGTCAGTCGCCGACTTATCACTCTGCTATCGCTACTACCACGGCCACTGTTCCCGTGGAACTTCCCACATTGATTCCTCCTCCTCCACGCATGTTGAGGACTCGGTCTGCCTGGCTGTTTCATCTCATCCGCACTGTGTTCTACCACCACCACCACAATGCAGGTCCCAACAACTCATTCAACGCACGCACGCACGCACCCACCACACTTCAGGTCACATCGCTTCTCTGTTTGCGTCTCCCCCCACGCACGACTCCACTTTGAAATTCCCTCCTCTCATCGTCTCTTTTCGCCCCCAAGATCTCATTTCCAGAGAAACGTCAACTCGTATGTTACAACTTTAAGTGCCGTTTGTTGCTGTCCGCTGCAAACGTTGAGCCTTGTTGTGCCTCATGCTCGGCGAACGAAAGAGACGCAGTTTGTGGCATCGAGAGCCGAATCTTCGCGCCAGGGCCCGTGCCAACGACGCGACATCGGCACCCACTGCAGCCGCCACCGTCATCGTCGTGACGGTGATCACGCTCAACGACGCAATAAGACGTCGCATGTCCGGCCGCCACATATCCCGCCCCGACCAAACAACCGCGCGCACCCAGCACAGTATTTGCGCACGGACGCAACCGTCGTTCTCCTCGGATGTTCACAGAGTCGATCGTTTCACACGCGCCCCCCAACCTCCTCGCGTACGTTCGGACAATCTGTTCTCAAAGTCACAGTCAAGCCACCGTCACGCGTTAATAAGCAACGCGGGACTTCTGTCCAGCAAGCTATGCGTGTACGTGCTTAACAGTGCAACTGTCATCTTTACCGAAGCTAACATACCCGACCTGTTCTCTTATCCGCTGATGTCCCCAGCGAGTCGGATTATGCGATGTTGCACGTCGATCGTGGTCATTGTCAGATCGGCTCTACGCTGCCGGAAAAGCTTGCTCACGACTCGCGATTACTCCACGCATTGTGTGTTCAAGGTGTCATTTAATTACAATTACATTTAAAATTGTGCCGAGACGGAATACATTACCGCTTCGGAACACTCACGCGGTGGCAAGTGCATCACTCCATGTCACAGAACAAACCCGGCGAAGGTGACATCACAGAACTAGAACCCAAGTAGCTCCGTCAACAAAACATCTTTGGCCACACCAGGGGCGCGGGTGTTTACACGCCCTGCGAAGTGCGCACGTCACACGTCACTCACACCGCACGTCAATTAAGACCGACGGTCATTCTCCGAAATTACATTTCGCACGATAGGGGTGGTGGTGGTGGGGAGAGGGGGCAGCACTTTCCCACCTCGTTCCGCCACACGAAAGTAACGTTCCTTGGGCGAGTAAACCCAACATTTTAATCCTCAAAGAGCTAGAACATCGTCAAATTAAGTGCGGAACCAAAGTTAAACTTGCTTGTTTCCTGTGCATTGTCGACTTTGGCCAAGGCCATCGAGCCGCTGCACTCGATCACCCGGTTTAATCGTGGGCGGCTGAAACGCAGATTTCCAAAGCAGCATTTCAGCGGTGCTGGCCGAGTGGCCAAGGCACGGCGATTATGAATCCCCCGTCCCAGCAACACGGCAAACTATACACCATTTTTGTAACTATTTTTTATTTTAGCAGGTAAGGCCCACTGAGCTAAATAGCTCTTGTTCAAAAGTGAACTGGCCACTAATGATAGCGCAACAAAGCGGCTCATCACGTGGAAATTTACAGCAGCCAAATACTCTTAAAAGCATGTCGATTCTAAATGTGGAGGGAAAAACAGGACCCGGAGAAAAATCCACACGACCACGGGAACAACACGCAAACTCCAAATAAACAGCAGGCATCAGGGACGCGATCGAACCCACGACCTCCTGTATACCGGGCGAGGGCGTTGACAGCTCGCCACCGTGGCACCCAACCAAGGTGGGCCCATTAGCATTCTGCATCACTACTGTGGTTGTCAAGATCTCAGCCACAGCTAGGATACAGCTCCACCGCCACCCAGTGGTGATTCTTTGAGAGGCCTTGGCAGGGGGGGGGGGGCGGCGGCGGGGGGATGGGGTCAATGCCCCCCATAAAACGAATGGCAGTGTCCCTCTGCAAGTACCTCCCCGATACCGAACCCTTCCACCATAATTCAGTTCGCAGCTCCGACCGTGACTGGGTACGTGCTCCAGTTAACAAGTGAAACGGAACATCGAGGTGCAACGTTGTTCGACTTCGCCAACGCCATTTCCCCGCAGCAGTCACGGAACTGACAGCAGGCCTCCGACGTCACAGTTTCATCCGTCTCAAAGGAGATCCGCGCTACAAGTGTCAACAACGTAGGTCATTGACAAAACGGAACAAAACACTGAAAAGTGCACAAAGGAAAGGAAGGGGATCGGAGAGCAGACGCCGGTAAATGAAGGTCATTCAAACGCTCGGGCAGGACACGTCATGACCCAGAAGGGATGGTGGCAGCGGTCAAGACCAACGATGGAGTGGCGGGCCAAGGAATGGAACGTAACCGAGAGAGAACGTCCACCCAGGGGACGGAGCGACGAAATTAGCTGTCGCGCGCAGTTTCCCGGGCGAATCGTTAAATCGACACGATCGCGAGAGGTGGCGATGACCTGGACAGGCCCTCGCGCAGCCGTGCACTGACGAAGGCCGACGACGATTGGGAAAATCGCAGAGTCATCATCGCTATCGCCAGCAGTCATGAGCCGGATGGGGTGGTGCCGCGCCCCCACCCCCTTCCACAAGCATTACACGAAACCCTCCCCCCCACCCCCACTTATTAGCCGAGTTCCAAAATCTCCACGACGGCACAGCAGAGCCATCTTCGTCACCGCCACCATCATCATCAGCCATCGTCAGCATCGTCAGCACTGTGCGCGGGCCGTCACGTGCAGGCGGTGCCGCCCACGCGCACGGCGGAGCGGAGGTGGCAGCGGTAGGCGGAGCTGAGGCCCGTCATCCAGAACTTGAGCAGCTTCACGTTGTCCTCGTCGGCCGCCCCCAGCACGGCGAGCAGGCGGTGCGTGTCCTCGCGCGAGCGGTTCTCCACCTTGGTGAACTTGAACAGCACCTTCACCTTGCTGCACGGTGGGGGGGGGGGGGGCCGGGGGACCAGGGACGGAGGGACGGACGGTTGGGTCAAGAGGCAACGGATTGGAGGGTCGCGGGGTAGCGCCGGTCGTGGTACAAAATTTCATAATCAGAATATTTATTTATACCGGGGAAATCCAGCTTACGATGCAGGATACCGCATCTAAGCTGGACCCAAAGAGTGATCAACATCGGAATTAGGAAAAGGTTGCACGTAGAAGAAGACCCGTCGATGCAGGCAGTGATGGGAAGGAAAGTGGCACTCTTTGGACACATATGGAGGATGGGCAACAACAGCAAAATTAAAAGTGTGTTATTCACAAAAATAGAAGGCAACGGAAAGAGAGAAAGGCATGAGAGAGAATGGCTTGACGACATGAGATAATGGTGCCAGAACGATGTGGCATATTGGCAAAAGACAAGAGGAAAGTGGAAACAAATCACGGAATGCGCAGTGGAAACGTACAGGCTATCTGCGTCCATGGATCGTGATAATGATGACGATAAAGCTTTTTCTCACAGATGTCCAGTAGGGGCAGGTCAGAACGTTATAACAAACAATAGGGGCGCCACGGTGGCGAGATCTTATCTCCTTCGCCTGGTGTGCAGGTCGTGGGTTCGATCCCAACCCTGACGACTGCTGTATATTTGGAGTTCACATGTTTTCCCTGTGGTCACGTGGATTTTTCTCCAGATCCTCTGGGTTTCCCCTTTACATTTACAACCCTGCATTTAGAGTATTTGGCTGCTGTAAATGTCCACGTGGTGAGCCACTTCGTTGAGCTATCACTTGTGGCCAAGTCGCTTCTGAAAAAGAGCTACACAGCTCAGTGGGCCTTACCTGGTAAAGTAAAAAAAAAAAATGTTTAATAGAAAAAAACACGACAGGAGTGCAAATTACAGGCAAGGCAAACAAATCACGCAAAGAAATATAAATACGACGGAACGGATTTGAGAAGCGGCGGTTCTCTGCACGTGGGCCGTGTGGTTCCACCCCTGCCCCCCCCCCCCCCCCCCCACCCTCGTGCATTGATGGGGAAGGCGCAGGCTGTGGCACGGCTAGCGCACAGGAACGTTAATTGTTTTGATGCGCGCGCGGGAAACACTGGCGCCACACACGTTTTGCGCCGACAAATACACCAGAGTGCGCAACGTGAAACAAACGGCCTTACTGGCGCTGCGCTGACTTAAAGAGGCATCGGGCACGTGATGTGCGAAAGAGTTTCAACATACGTACAGTGCATACACACATCTCCGTGTATTGTGACCTTGGTAACATGAAGAAGAAGGGGGGGGACACATCCGGGCAGGGTGGCACGGGGACCAGTAGTCTTGATTGGGCGCCAGCAAATTAAATCACCGATTTCATTTTTGCAATTTAGTTGCTCAATGCCACTGCTGGCGGAAGGGCCTACGCACAAGAGAGAGCTCTAAGGAGCTCCTCTCAGAGGGTACTGTGGCCTCCTCATCCACGGGGTGGGAGTGCCCACTCTTTACGGCACCACACACAACTGCCAATCGACGAGGGGTGCACCCATTTATATAGCTGGGTGTATAATAAATGGGGGGGGGGGTGATGAAGGGTGGGGATAATGATGCAGAAACCTGCATCATTATTTTAACTACGGCCCCCGTGAGATCGGAGCGGAGACCTTTGGATTGCACAAATCCGGCGTGTCGACCTTTACCCTCCGGCAGCGTCCGGCGCGATTGGCGGTGCACGGTAGCAATCCACCGCTCTGGAAGGGATTGGTTGGTTTCGGTTTCTTGCTGGTGGATTGTGTAGGCCGCGGGGTGGCCAGGGGGATGCAGCTACCACAGCGGATTGTTGTGAACCTATCAGCGCGGAGCCTCGGGTGTTATTGCCTCGTACACGGGTTTCCCAGTTTCCTCCCGTGACGAGCAAAATGTTCCCGGCCAGGAAACTAATTCCCACGACTACGCCTCTCACTACTACAGGACGAGTGAGGTCGTCACGATGATGACGCAGCAGCACCGTTGATGCGAACGTAATTTTGAATCCGGCGTCAATTTCGCACCGTTTCCCCCCCACGTGGGGTCCACATCGGCGAAGGCTCGTTCCCGTGGGGATGGCGTTCCTCCCGACAGCTTTCTCGCGTTCAGCGTGAAGCCGCAAATTAATTTTGCCCAACGGGAGACTCGGCGACGTGACTGGAGTCGCGTGACGTGCGGTGGTGGCGCTCGACGGATGTGGTGGGGGTGGTGAGCAGCGGCAGCAGCGGCTAGTAAATGCGTTTTGCGACGCAAGCTGCAGGAGATGCCCTCGCGTGTTATTTTTGACACGGCGATGCGTATTTCATTTCACACACCGAACGTGCCGTCTTTTTTGTCGGTGACGTATTTGGATCAAATTAAGTCACGGTACGAAACGAGGTCGTCGAGGTTCGTGCGGCGGACTCAATTCCTGGGCCGTGGCCGGTCCACGGACCGTGGGTTCCCCCATCCCTGGGACACGGTGGCTAGGAGATGTTAACTACCTCGCCTGGTATACAGCAGGTCGTGGGTTCGATCCCGACCTTGACGCGTATAAATTTGGAGTTTGCATGTCTCTCTCCCCGTGGATTTTTCTCCGGGTCCTGCAGTTTTTTTTTCCCTCCGCATTCAGAATCAACGCGCACTTAGAGCATTTGGCTGCCGCTATAAAGTTCCACGTGGCGACAAGCCAGTTTGTTGAGCTATGAATTGCGATAGCCAGCTCGCTTCGGAAATAGAGCTACATAACTCGGTGGGCATTACACCTGGAAAAATAACAAAAAATAGTTTTAGTTTAAAACCGCACGGGGGCGCGTCGGGGAACGGCTCGTGGTGGCTCGCCGGCGATGTGAACCGCACGCGGCAACTCACTTCATCCACTCCTCCTTGAGACACTGCACACACTGCTCCACCACGGAGAGAGAGAGGCTCTCGTTGGCCAGCGCCGCCTCCAGTCGGTTGAGTATCGTGGGGCCTGCAGTCGCGGGGGTTGGGGTTTGGTGGGGGTGGGGGGGGGGGTTTTGGGTGGTTTAGGGAGAGAGAATGCATCGCTCATGACGAGGCCACTGTGCCGGAGGCGAGATGCAACCGCCTGTAATAAAAACTACGTTCAGATCAAATGAGAACGATGCGGCGAATCAGAGAGCGATCGAGTGAGCGGCTCAGTGACTTGTTGAGAAAGGCAGTGAGTGAGTGGGCGAGTGGACGGGTTGGTTAACTTGATGCGTTGAGTGGGTGAACGAGTGGATGAATAAGTGGGTGATCGAGCGATAAAACAAGTTAATGAGTAAACAAGCAAGTGGATGGTTTGGTGAGCGAGCGGGTAGGTGATTGAATTCGCGTACAAGTGACTGGGTGAGCCAGCGAGTGAGTGAGCGAGTGAGTAACCGATCGAGTGGGTGTACGGGCGCGGTCCTCACCTCTGTCGGAGGTGGCGGGCGATCCGGAGCTGAGCGAGAACTCGTACTTGAGGAGGGGGTCGTGCTCCAGCGCCGAGAGGTCGGGGTAAACGCGCCGTAGCGCGGGGCCGCGCGCCTCCACCAGCACGTAGAACTCTGCAGGACGTACGCACGCACGCACGTACACACACACGTACACACGCACGCACACACGCACAAATGCACACACGCACATGCTCGTACAGGTCAGTCCATTGATCGACTAAAAATGTGGACGATTACTCAGGCTCCCCTAGCCGCGCAGTGAGATGATGTCACTACAACATATGACGTGTAACGTCGTGAGATGACATCATGATGTCACTACAACATATGACGTGTAACGTCGTGAGATGACATCACACGTGATGACGTCATGGCCTTGGCCAAAAAACGTGTGATCCGTTATCGCTCGTATTCTTATCTCCTGCTACAGTTGTTATTTTGTGTGTGCGTGCGTGCGTACCGGAGACGGCCACGTGAGGAGGCAGCGCCACTCCTGGAAGGAGACCTAGGAAGTTGCAGTGGTAGGATTCCTTGTACTCCTCGCTGTGCGCAATGATCCGCACACAGCCCACAGGCAGCATCGTCTGTGGGCACGCAACGCACGCACACACACACACGCCGAGTCTCGTCAGACGACTTACCGCGCTCGCTGGGCTGCGCGCGTGGAATCGGACTCTCTCAATTCACGCCGACTGGACGGACAAGGGTGGACAAGGCAACGCAAGGCGAGACAGAAAAAATGAGAAACAAGCCGCAGACGAGACTACAGAAACGGGTTAGAGGTTATCGAACTGTGATCCTCGAATCTTGACAAACCATATAATTGCTGGGGGAATTAAGCATCACGCAAGTAATTGTCTCTGCAACAGTCACTGTGCACACACAAGTACAAAGACCCCCCCCCCCCCAGTATATCCTTAACAGTCTTTTGGGGCAAGTGCTGTTAACGAGGACCTATGAAGGCCGGCACGGCACACGAGGGGGTGGGTGGCCAGCACCACGCCCGACCGATTTTGTCTCCCTAGTGGCGATGTTTACGCACCGCACCAGGTACTCATTTGAGGCTGAGTCGACCTCGGGGAGGCCCAAGACCCGTTCAGATAATCGTCACCAGGTGTTGGCCGTGAGCGGGAATCGAATTCGGGTCGCCGGGTTCGTAGCGCAGCGTGCTAACCGCTACACTACCGCTCCCCACACAAGTACACACACGCATGCACACGTACCCGCTTTGGCGACGGAAACGTGACATCAAACCCAGGGATCTCAGCGGTTCCTACACAGTGTCTCTAACCTCCGGGTCACCCGTTGTATGCGTGTTGAACTTTCTCCGCAGCATATGTAGCCAACCATGTTCATCGGCGGCAACTTGTACACGTCTCGCAGTACTTCTAGTTTAAACGACGTGCCTGGACACCACGGTACCTTGAGCACGTCGAAGGCCGATTGCATCATTCTTCTGTCGTCGGCCTGCCACACCACCTGGTTCCCCATGAGCACGTGCCACGCCAGCACACGGAACCATGCCGGCCCCAACACCTGCAGGCAAACGCCACTTATTACGCCTCTTCTCCACTGGCGCATCGAACCCGAGCCAGGGCAGGGCCTTTTGTGTACGTTGAACTTCTTTAGCACCGTACATAGCCAACCATGCTAATCAGGTGCAGAGAAGGACAAATAAACACAAAAAATGGCCTTCACGGTACAGGTCGTGACCTCCACTGGCTATTTTTTGTTCTGTTTTCTCCATTGGCTTCGGGGCAAGCAGGGTCAGGGGCGAGGCTAATGACACGTCTCTCCACACATCTCAACTTGGAAGGTTGTGCACGACGTCAGAATCAGAATCTTTATTTGTATGTATGTATGTATGTTGAACTTCTTTCGCATCGTACATGGCCAACTGTGCTAATTGGAGGTGCGGGGGAAGGATAATAAATAACCATAAAAATCAGTTCTGAAGAAATTCGTTTTCAATCTAAGTTGCAGTGGCACAGCTCAGCTTCTGCAGTGGAAAAACAAGCTGGTGCCTCCTGACACGGCCCAAACCCGGCTCGGTTGCCGAGTGGGGGAAAAAAAAAAAAGGAGCAACAATCTTCTCCACTGACTCACGATCCGCCCCACCCCCTACCGTGCTCACCTGGCGCAGGTGGCGCAGGGAGTGGAATACGGGCGCGTCGCACCACGTCTCTCTCCCTCCGCTGCTCCCCCACGCTCCTCCGTCCCCCACCGCGGACTGCGAGGCGCCGTCGGCGCCGTCGGCGGGAGCGGGCGGCGAAGTCGACTCGGCTCCTTCCGAACCGGAAGCCGCGTCCTGCCTCAGCCGCGCCTCCTCTTCGCGTTCTTCAGCGGTCGTACGCGCAGGGGGATCGGGTGGGCAGCGCAAGCAGTAGTGATAATAATAATGATGATGATGACAATTCCATTTACTTACGAAGGTGTTAATGATGTTAATGGTTCCAGCTGGAATGATTAGTCGATTAAGTTGACCAATTGACTTATAATAACAACCTATATTTTATCAAGCTCACGAGTTTTGATAAAATATGAGCACAATAGAAAGCTGATAAATGTGACTGCTGTTTTGGAGTCTTTTACCTTAATTTCATGTTCTCGCTACCAGCGTCATGTCATGAGACAAAGTATCCAAACAGATCTCTCAACTGCAGTGGACCACTTCACGTCCCAATCCAAGCGGACCTCACAGGGCTACCACTCAGATAATTTCAAGTGAGCAGTGGTCTTGGTTACCAAAAATGTTGAGAACAACTCTCTGAAAGTAAATTATTTAGCTCAATTCCTTAGAACCCAGGAGTAACTCGGCGCTTTTGGCGAGTTACCGGCACGTTGCTCCATCTCCACAAGGGTGTCCTCCGTGGGGGCGCCCTCCAGAAGCTTCTCAGTAAGACGGCTCCCACAAGCCTTCAGTAGCCTGGGTCACGTGACCCACAGATAGCGTAGAGGGGCGGCAGAAATAGGACGGCAGGGCAGGGGCGTTAAGAGGAGATGGTAGGCAAAAGTTGGAGGGGTAAGGGTTGGAGGGTTGATGGAGCAGTATGTATGTTGTATGTTGAATTTATTTCACACCGTATCTAGCCAACCGTGTTAATCGTAGATATAATATGTAACAGGGTAGGGGAAGAGACAGGAACAGGACAATGATGACGATAGTGATGGTGATGATGATGAGGGCAGCCGGTACCAGGCAAAGGATGTGTGCAGATGAGCCCAGAGGTCTTCATCGGCGGTGAGGGAGAGGAGGGAGCGTGCGGCGCTGCCGTTGCGCTGGTGGAGGTAGGAGCCCGGCGTGAACGCCGTGTTGATGCGCAGCGCTCGCTGGGGACATTCGGCCTGCTCCGAGTCAAACACCTGCACGGCGATGCAGGGCAACGCTCAACAACCGTGCTTATTATTATTACTTTCTCTAGACTCTTTTTTTTCAGGAGGGTACTGCTGAGTGTATTACAGTTAAGGCCTATGAATGCTGTGTTTAGTTTGTTGTCCTTCCCTGCACCTCCGATTTGCACATGCATACATACAACTCAAAGATCCCCACGTAACTTTAACAGCCTGTTGAGGCAAGTGCTGTTAGTGAGCACATATGAAGATGGGCACGGCACACGAGGTTAGTGGGTGACCAGCACTAAGCCTGGCAACATACATACAACAACCGCCATTCGCCATTAAGTGGCGGTGACGTCACCACGGCGCTTGTGCCAGGCTATGTGCACGTTAAGGCCATGTGAAGTGTTGAACGCCCACTGGCAGGTCACCGGGCAGACCTAGGTGCCATTGGGTCGACCGACTGAGATGACTGGCCAATGCACCACCTGTGCCCCCTACTCTGCCAACTTGCTGTATTTTAGCCGCCCGATGCTCCGCTCGTTTTTGCGAGCGTCGCATACATACACGTGAGCGTACACACTTTATCAAATAACCCCCCCTCCCCCCGTTCCGTCACTGCTGGTCGCCCCACCCTCATGGCCTTGCTTTGCAGGTCGTCGATGAAGGCCTTGAGCTTGGCGAGCAGGAAGGGCCAGGAGTTGATGAGGTAGATGCGGTCCATGGTGACCACGATGAAGCTGTACCAGCGTTGGAAGCCGCGCGCCAGGCTGTCCTTGATGAAGAACGTGTGGCTGAACACGTAGCCCTGCTGCTCGTCGCCAAAGAGGATGGGGCCCTCGCGACCCGGACACACCTGCGACGGTCGCAAAGACAGCAGCGACAGAGGCGTCGTGAGCCACCTTCTGACTCACTGCTGGATGAAGGCCTCACCCTTCGGCGTACCTGGAGTAGCAGAAGCAAATACAAACAATACGTTTTGACGATACGCCATCACGAGACACGATCTATCCGTCGTTGGATGACGGCCTCCTCCTCAGCGTACCTTCGCTGGTCTGTCCACTGCTGCATAAACTCTCCCCCTTCATCACGGTCATTCTCATCGTGAACCATGGTCTATATATAGAGCTAAATTAAGGCCCTCGGAAGCCACCACAATCCCTCGTGGCCAGGCCTCGCCACAATCCGTCCCGCTCCTGCCCACAACCCGACCACACCCTGATTCTACGACTCCACCCTGACAGCACCGTGACTCCACCGTGATCCTACAGTGATCCCACTGTGACTCCACTCTGATCTCACCATGACCTCCACCCCATTCCCCCACGCTCCCCGTGACCCCACCGTGACCCCTCACTGACCTCGCAGCTGAGGCTGCGCACGCAGGCCTGGCGAACGATGCTGAAGACCTCGGAGCGCGCCGGGTGCTGGTGGCTCACGTAGCTGATGTTCGCCTCGCGGTCGCGACTCACAAAGCCGGGGTGGCCCGCGGCCAGCGAGCGGCAGCCCTGGGGAGTCAACGTGGGGGGGGGGGGGGGGTGGGGTCAGAAGGGTGAGCATGGGGGGCCGTCAGAATTCAGGGGACATCGGGGTCGTCGTGAGGGGGTCACGGTGGTAAGTGGAGAGGGTTGCAGAAGTTGGAATGGGGTCACACCAGGGGTAGGCTTGGAGAAGGGGCTTAGAAAGGTCAGCACGGGGTTAGCACAGGGTTCAGTACAGGGGGATCACAGGGGTCGGAGGGGAAGGGGTCGCAGGAGCCTTTAAAAATCGAAATATCGTGGTTGTAAAAGCTCAACAGAAACCGATCTGCCCATCCCACGACAGCCACACCTCGCACATTTCCGAGGTCATCGGGCCGTAGCTGGCACTGAGACCGGCGTCCGACTCGGAAAGGCTCGACGGGCGCGTGCCGCGACCCAGCCCCAACCCACGCTCCATCTCCACGCGGCCGTCGCCCCCATCGCCGCCGAGGTGGCAGCCAGACCCAGCCGCCGCAGCCGTCGCCATCGAATCTCGAGCGTCGACCGCTTCACTGCGAGACATCACGCGCGTCCCACCATCGCCCCCTCCTCCTCCTGCTCCCGCCGCTTCTCCTCCCGTCGGGCCAAGGTCTCCTCTGGCCGGCCCTGGGAGGCCACACGAGTCGGGGCCGCCCCCAGGGTGCGCCGAGTGCAGCGCCTGGGTGCAGAACAGCGTGCGGGGCCCGTGCAGCTCGCAAAAGTGGCACAGCGCCACGATGGCGTTCATTGTGAAGCACTGGTTGGGGTTTCTTTGCCGACCGGCGCTGATCACGACGACGAACGGTCGAACGAACCGATGGAGTCGGAGATGACGTGGGGTTCAAGTCGCTGTGCCCTAAGAGAGAGAGAGAGAGAGACACGCACACACAAGTAAGCTTCTTTCCCACTGGCACATACTGGCAGGCACAAGCTGGGGAGAATTAGCACCGGTGCTACGGACATCAACGATGGCCCTTGTGTAACTCTGTAGCCGTGAGACATCACCAGCACGGACCAGAAGTCGTCGCACTCGACCTGTTGATGTCCAAATGAACACTGAAAAGCGGTGTACCACTGGAACCCTCAAGTCGACCGATACCAGAGAATGAGAAGACTGGCACAACCGTGCCGAGGCAGTGTGGGGGTCCGTCACAGTAGAAGTGGGTCCCCCACGCTATTCACCGTGCCGAGCACTGCGTTGCGATGTCAGTAACACCGAGGACACAGCAATCAATGCGTCGTTTAAATACACCTTGGCTCGTTCATTGCTTCAGATGTCGGGCAAATCAGAGGTGCGAGTCTGGATTTCAGTCGCCTGTGATTGAGATTGAAAACTCATTTCCTTAGAACGACTTCCTATTTAGCGCGGGTGGCCTCCGTACGGCGCGAAAGAAGTTACCAACGTACACACACACACATCGGTTTTTATATTCTTGGATCTTTCGGTAAAGTCACGTAGAAGGGAAATAATAAAAATAAAACGATAAAATTATCACGTTTCACATCGTTGTTGATGTCGATTCACAACGACGTCGTGTGCCCCCGTACCCTCTTGTTTAGTGGGGGTTCTCTCTACAGCGGCCTCGAGTGGACATCGAAAAAGAGCTTTATAGCTAATAAAGAATTAGCTTTATAGCTCATCGGATTGCTCAAAGGACAAACATTCTGGCGCGAGCGAGAAAACTTGCGCGCGGTTGAAGCTCTCCTCCTCACACTTCTATCAGCACCGCCACAGTATTACGACTATCGGATTGTTACAATTGTTGCTGTTATAGTGTGGTGCCGTTGAGCGACGTCGTCGTGATACTGTTACGACTATAACTTGGCGAAGTTAAAATAGTTATCGTTGATGATATCATAAACTATTACCATTGCATATTCGATTGACTCACCATCACGCGCCAACGATGCCCCCACACAACACAGGATCACGTGATCTAACACCGCCCCCCCACCCGCCCCGTACCTTTATATTTTGCAGCGCTGATAAGGTTCAGAAGTGCGCTACTATTGGACAACTGGGGAGCACGTGACCAGTCTCCTACCCTCCCCCCACCCCCACCTGTTTATTTTTCCCAGTGAGGATAGGCACCCAGACCCCTCCCCGCACCCCCCGGCCCCTCACCTCCCCGGCTCTCATCCCCCTCCTCCCCCCACCCCGCCTGAGACCAGCGCTGTGATTGGAAAACGCGGCACCCACGTGACCGGGTGAGTGTGGGGGGGGGTATCAGACACCACGGAGTGCGCATGCGTCGCGATATGTTAATTGCGATGGTGACGGCGTGCGGAAGTAATTTGTAATCCGATTCCATAAAAATAACCGGCGCATCGATTCTGCGACTGACTTAATCGATTCCCCACCCCCCCCTCGTGCTGTTGAGAAAGAAATCGCGCGCCTGATCTGTGGAATCGATATCGTGCGTGAGTTAATCGACTACAACGTGTGCGAAAAGGGGAATCGATTCCCTTCATACCACCTTCGCGTGTTTGTCTTTTGGAGGTCACGTAGGTCGACTCGGCCTCAAATGAGAACCGTAACCCGGTGCGGTGTGTAAAGCGTCAGCACTGGAGGGGGGGCGGGGAGGGAGGGAGAGAGACAAAGGCGGCCGGCCGTAGTAGTGCTGGCCACCCTCATAGGTGTGCCGTACCGCCTGCATTCATAGCTCCTGCTCGCGAACAGCACTTGCTCCAAACAGCCCGTCATACAACAGGCTGCACGGGGAGAGAGGAGAGGGGGGGGAAGCGTCGCGTTGTGTAGGCCGCGTCGGGGTGTACACACCGAGCGAGTAGCGGGCGAGTGTCGGTGAGCGATGGAGGCGGCGCGCGTCCTCCGCGCGCTGCTGCGGGAGCTGCGCTTGGCCTCACCCCCGGAGCGGCGGCTCCGAGACGGCCTCGCGTATCGCCACGTGGCGCAGCTGTTCCGCGACAACCAGGCACGGGGCTGCGGCAGTGCACGCGGGACAGTACACGCGATATGAGCAGTACACATGGGACAGTACACGCGATATGAGCAGTACACATGGGACAGTACACGCGATATGAGCAGTACACATGGGACAGACAGTACACGCGATATGAGCAGTACACATGGGACAGTACACGCGAGTTGGGCAGTACACATGGGACAGACAGTACACGCGATACGAGCAGTACACATGGGGCAGATAGTACACAGACAGTACACTCGAAATGGGCAGTACACATGGGACAGACAATACACACGAGGCAGTACACGTGGGACGGGCAGTACACACGAGATGCACAGAGTACACATGGCCTGTAAACATGCGACAATCCATACGGGCAGGACACATGAGGCAGAGTACGAGATGAACAGTACATAGGGGGACAGTACGCACGTGTCCGTAGGGAGACGAGAGATCATCGCCAGGCAATGGGACAGACGAAATCAAGCGGGACTAATAACTAAAAAAGAGATGAAACGTCCTCGTCGATAGCCGTGCCCTTCGAAATAAAAAAGATAAAATAAGCGACGTTTCGGGCAACGGCCGTTCCTCCATATCAGTATCGCCAAGTGAGTTGTTTGTTTTTCCAAACAGGACAGAGAGACTTACTTACTCTTTGGTTCTTTTGGTAAAGTCACGTAGCTATAAAATAAATCAATAAATTTTATTTTTTGTATTTTATACCTACGTGACTTTACCGAAATAAAAACTTAAAACAGCACAGAGGCTTGAGCCTCCGCCACTACCGAGACCATAGCTTCCAATATTCCCATCCCCATAGCTTCAAATATTCCCATCCAATGCCCGCCATTCGCCACAAAGTGACAAAGCAACACGGCGACTGGTGCCAGGCCACGTGCGCTTTGAGGCCACGCCAAGTGTCAGAAGGCTCGCTGACAGGGGGAGGTCTCTGGACAGACCCCCAGGTGGCCCACGTGTCACCCGACCGAGATGCACCGGCTGGTGTACCCGCTATTCCCATCTACTACCACAGCACCACCTGATCACACCCCCTCCTCCTCCTCTGTTTCACCAGGTGACGGAGGAGCAGAAGTGCCGCGCTCGCGAGGAGATGCAGCACCGGGCCATCACCTACCTGTGCCTGCTCCGAAGCACGCGGCAGTACGCGGCGCTGCACTCCGAGTACCAGGGCCGAGGGGAGCGCGCTCCCGAGGACGTGGCGCGCCTCGTGGGTCTCTGCATGCCCCCCCGCCAGAGGCAAGCCCCCCACGGCGAGGGTGGCGGCGGTGGGATTGGAGGAGGCGACGAGGGGCCGCGCTGAACGAGGGGCCAGCCGGCTTCCGCGTGCGCGCGGTGCGTCCCGGCGGTTCACGCGGGGGGGTGGTTTAAACAACAGATACATGTGTATGTTGAACTTCATTCGCGCCGGACGTAGCCCACCGCGCTAATATTCCGCTCGCTCTCGTAGAGAGAGAGAGAATGGCCACGTAGTGAGTCGGCGCCAACTATCCCAAGCTCTGGGGTCCTCTATGTATCCATGTGCTATTGGCCAATGAGTGTTTACATCACACGTGCGAGGGGGAAACACTCTATCCCATACGTTCAGAACAGTTTGAGTCCCAACATTTTTGCTGTACCGCCATCTCCCGACGAGTCCAGGATATTATAACATATCGACGCCCAGGGGAAAGTGGGGGGGGGGGAGCCTTCACAAACACGTGTGCGCGATCCAGTGCTGGATTACAGGCCACATGCATAGCCAACAACCAACCCTTACTTGACTGCGTTTTGGTGAAGTGGGATGGGGGTGCGGGGAGGACCGGTGCAATTATCTCACGATTGAAGTTGTTAAGAATAAAATTAAACCGAGAGTTGGGCGTTCGAACTGCGCCGATTGTGGACGCGTGTGTGCGCGCGCCCCGCAACCTTCACCACAAAGGATCCCGATCTCGTCCCATCTCGGCAGCGGAGCAGGCTCGAGCCCTGGTTAGCACTTGGATAAGGAGAACGCGGACTACCTGGGTGTGTACCACGTGTTGCAGGCTTGGGCTGCGTGGTGGTGAAACTGTGCGGCGCTTTGAGTGTCCCCTCATCTCGTGTGGGTGGTGATGGGTTTACTCCGGGTTCTCCAGTTTCCCACGCACCCCCGAAAGGCTTGCAAACTCTCATGAATGGAATTCACCAAACGTCCCAATGTAGCAGGGACCCCCTAGACAGAAGACTGGATGAGACTTTACTGGATGAATACATTGAGTTGTGATTATTAGTACGAAAGGCCGTGACCTGAAGAGTGACACATGGCTAACGTCACACATCCTCGCCTGTTTTATGCACCGTCACATCTGTGAAACAATAAAACGCTGCCTGGTCTCACAAGGCAACCCGAAGCAAAAGAAATGTCCTGTCTCTCTCTTGTGTGTAACTGTTGGTAAGGGATTGGTCATCAACATAACATTTATTTAGTCACGTGAAGCCCTTTTTGCATGACTTGATTGTGACGAGACGTGGGCAGTCGTCGACCTCTCCTAGCAGCACCCTCCAGGGTCGCCGACGCTTTCCCGGGTAAACAAGCATATTGCTAAATAAATAAAGTCATTGCACATTATTACGATGCACTGCTTGAGAAATTCTAGACCTGGCCAATCGACTGCAGTACACCCTGGGAGGATAGAGGCGGTGGGGGAGGGGGGTGCTGGGGAGTTATAAATCGCCCTTTCAAATGCCGCGCCAGGATATTGAATCGATTACCTCTGGACTGTCCTGTGCTACCCAACATGCAACGGCAGAATGTTGGGCAGCATTTCGATTCGCGGCGCTAGGATATCGCGATTTCATTGAAGACACTTTTCAGAATTCTTTATTTTCAATTCGTATAATAACTTAACAGTGATCATGAGAATCAGAACCAGAAGTGTATTTCCCTACGCAAGGGTGACCTTTTCAAGGGTGTCTTGGCCAGGATGGTGAAAGCTGGGGTAAGCCTTTATCCAAGCAGTTGAATGATCATGGCTGATGATTAACTGCTGGATGATACATTTTAAGGCCCACTGAGCTGTATAGCTCTTTTTTTTTAGAAGCGACCTGGCTTCTCGCAAACGAAGTGACTTAAGTTGAAATGTTTAGCAACAGCCAAATACTCTACGCTAAACGCGTGTTTCTAAACGTGGAGAAAATTCCACGCGACCACGGGGAAAACATGCAAACTCCAAATATGCAGGATCGAGATAGAATCCACGAACTCCTGTATACCAGGTGAGGTAGTTAACATCTCACCGCCGTGCTGGTCAATGGGGTTTTTTGACCATACTTCACCATGCTGCGATTGGTTCATGCGAGCACTGCCGCCACCGTATTTAGTTTGTTGTCCTTTCCCCGCACCTCCGATTACCACGGCTGGCTACGTACGGTGCGAAAGAAGTTAAACATGCATACATTCCACCCGGTGCACAGTGACAAATAAAACAGCATCGATTCTAGACTCGTGACCCCCAAATCTCAAGCACCGCATCGTCGCATACACACGTTACAGCGCGTTTGTCCCATCCACTGCTGGATGAGGCCTCCTCTGCCCACCCCCCCCCCCTGCAAGGGTTATCTGACCATACTTCACCGTGATGGTCAGTGAAGGTGCTGGGGGGGGGGCGGAGTACAGAACAACAATGTATTTTCGAAACGGTGTCCTCCGCTTCCCACGACACCGGCAACACCTGTTGTACGTGCTTGCCCGTCGTCCAGGCTCAACCCCTGCATAGACCCCGACGTCTGGTAGGGGTTCGGGCACATTCCTGGCGATTGGGTCAACGGAGGCTTCATCGTCACGCGCCGGCTCACGACGGATTCTGCGGTCGCTTAAGCCGCTGTAAGACCCGCCGCGAAGCAAGGGTGCGGCGAAGAAGAAGCCGCGAGGAGGGTTTCGACGGCTCGAAATGAAGAGCGAGAGATTTGAAAGAGGAACCCAACGGTTCAGGGCGCAAGCGGCTTAATCGGGGACGTCACACGCGAGGGGCGAGTGAGCTCGGGAGATGGGAGCAATGAGAACAATTCGTGCGCGCGAGCGAGGTGGATCGCAGCACCGCCACTAGACCGCGAGGGATGGCAACGGCGTCGAGGGCAGGCCTTCATCCAGCGGTGCGGTGGATAGGTATTGGCCAATGATGATGATGACGAAGAAGACCCGGCAATGGATGAGCCGCATTTGAAGAAAACGGATCCAGGGTCTCAGATGCCACGCTTTGAAGTAGAGAGGGGAGAAACTGGATGGGGGGGGGGGATGGCCTATGTCCTTCCCTTCACCAGGACCCATGGCAAGCACATGCTCTACCATAGCCTCACGTAGAGATTCATAGACTCACACAGAGCCTCATCGTCCGGTGGCACAGCTATCGAGCGTGCAGGTGGTGCAACTGCACCCGGGCCGACGGGCTGGAGCGGGGATGGGCGGTGGCGCAGGCACTGCGCTATGAAGAGAAGGGGAATTACGGAATTTTGGTGGGTGGGATGGGGCATTTAATACGTGGCACCAGAGCCCATGCCATACTACACCGCTGTGGGGGAGCGGGAGAGACCAAGGGGGGGGGGGGGGGGGGGGTGGGTGCTGTTAGGCTCGGGGAGTCGGTGCCTGCGGCCCCTGCGTCTTCACGTGCCGCGTGTCCACGAGGCCGGCCTGCTCAAGGTGGCGCAGGGCGCGGTCAGGGCTGAACGCCACGCGCAGGCCGCACCGCGACTCCAGCCAGCGCTCCACCTCGAGGGACACGGCCGCCGGGGACACCGACGCTGCTGGGAGAAAGCGGGGGGGGGGGGGGAGGTGGGGGGGGCGGGGGAGGTGGGGGGGGGGGCGGGGGGGGTGCAGGGGCGGGGGGTGCAGCGGGGTGGCGGGCGACAAGGGAGGATGCAACGGTGTGAAAATAAAAACTAAACTATAAAAACTGTTAACTATTTTTATTATACCAGGTAAGGCCCCACCGAGCTATGTAGCTCTATTTCAGAAGCAACGTGGCCACAAGTGATAGCTCAACGAAGTGGCTTATCATCGTGTGGATATTCAAAGCAGCCAAATACTCGAAACGCACGTTGATTCTGAATGTGGAGGGAAAAAAAATCGGAGGACCTAGAGAAAAATCCACACAATCACGGGGAGAGAAAGACGTGCAAACTCCAAATATACAGGCGTCAGGATCGGGATCGAACCCACAACCTCCTGTATAGCAGGCGAGGCAGTTAACATCTCGCTACCATAGAAGAGGATGCATGCATGGGGGGGGGGGGGGCACGTGGGCAAGAGGGGAGGCACAGAGATTGAAGAAGACACACAGGGGACACGAGCGAGGGGACACGGATATGCGACGGGACAGATAAGAAGACTCCGAGACAAGACGGAGCATTAAGGAACAGGGAGGACGCACGGGGACGCACGGGGACGTGAGGTGACCACCTCAACTGTGCATCTGGCTCACCCCTTTGACCTCTCGCCTATAAACCGAACTCTCAGCGAATTCGACTTGTCTCCCCCCGCGCCGGCTTGGCTGCCCGATGCCCATTCACCACGCCCAAATGACCCTCAAACTCTCACTCGGCCTCCTCAAAACCCCTCCCCACCACCGCGCTACGCTCAGCGCTCGCCTCGCCCGTCCTCCCTCCGGATGACTCTCGCAGGCGGTGCAAACTGCCATCAGTCCCCCCCCCCACCCTCACCCACCCCACCCCCCTCCCTCCCCCCCCCACCGTTTTGCCCCTCACCTGGCACACCACCGCCTCCCACCATGCGCAGGATGGCGGCGCGGGCGAGCAGCACGTCCTTGCAGTGCTCGTGCAGGGCACGCCGCGCCAGCGCCGTGACGAGGGCCCCGTTGTTGGCCGTGCCCTTGTAGTAGAGCATGCGCGCCAGCCCCAGCGTGTAGCGCGCGCGCCGCCGCCGGTACGCGGAGAGCGTGCGAGCGCCCAGCAGCAGCGAGAACAGCGCCAGCACCAGCATCAGCTGCACCTGCGCCCGCGTCAACGGTCGAACGAATCATTTTGGATTTTCTGCGTTGGCACCGTCCGGGGCGCCAGCGCACCCGCTGCCGAGTGCCTTGCCGAGAGGCGGTTCGGCAAAGTTGCATACAAGGTGTGCATTTTTTTTGCCGGGTCGAAAATGTTCCCCGGCTATAGTATCCGGTTAGTGGCGCATAGATGCTCGCGCGTCTCCCCGCGCATCTCCCCGCACGTCTCCCCGCGCATCTCCCCAAGCGTCACCCCGCGTGTTACCCGTGTCTCCCCGTGTCCCCGCCCACGTCCCCCCGCGCATCACCCCCGTGTCTCCCCGTGCGTCCCCCCATGCGTCCCCCCGCGTGTTACCCCTGTGTCTCCCCGTGTCCCCGCCCACGTCCCCCCGCGTGTCACCCCCGTGTCTCCCCGTGTGCCCCCCCCCCGCGTCGCCGCGACCTTGAGGTCGGTCATGATGACCATGTAGACGTTGACGAACACGGCGAGGCCGCCGATGGCCAGCGTGCCGTTGAGCAGCGTCTTGTCCAGCGTGGACATGTGCACCCGCACCTCGGGCAGCGTCAGCTCAAGTGCCGTCCATGGCACGTCTGTGGGGAGGGGGGTCAGGGTGGGGGGGAGGGGAAAAGTGGGGGGGGGGGGGAAAGGGCGAGGTGGGGGTGCGGCAGGTAGTGGAGTGGTCAGCGCACTGCACTGCGAACCCGGCGGCCAGAGTTCAATTACCACTCGTGGTCAACATCGGTGATGAATGTCTGAATCGGTGCTGGGCCTCCCCTCCCGAGGTCGGCTCAGCCTTAAATGAGTACCTGGTGCGGTGTGTAAACATCAGCGTGGGCGTTCGGTGATGATGAGATGAGATATGCTTAAGTTTGCCTCTCGGTTTTTCAAAATACACATGCAAAGTTTTCGTAAAAATGTTATTCAGCATATCGGTGAAATATATAATATTTTCCCACTGAGCTTAGGGGCCGTCCATAAATGACGTCACACACCTGGGGCGGGGGGGTCAGACATTTATGACGAGGGGGGGGGGTTTGAGAAATGTGACGTCACATCAAAATGCGCAACTTTAAATAAATAAAGACAACACGTTCTACTTAATTAAATAGACTTTTTAATAAATGTTTTATCCTACAACATCAGAGTGCAGCGCCACATTAAATGTGCGCTACAATGACAATAGTTTAAAGCGATTTGAAGCATGTTTTATTTTTTTGGGGGGGGGGGGGCAGAGCTTTGTGACATCATATTTGAGGGGGGGGGTCTGACTTTTTCTGACGCCGTGTGACGAGGAGGGGGGGGTCAAAAATCGTCCAAAATCGCGTGATGTCATTTATGGACGGCCCCTTAGTAGAACATGTGTACGAATACAATTCACGTTTTGATTTAAAGCTTTCGTGACTGCAGGGATTCATATTCTTGGTTCTTTCGGTAAAGTCACGTAGAATGGAAACAATAAAATAAAAAATATATAAAACAATAAAATTATTACTACGTTTCGACTGCAAGAAAGTTTTCTTACTGTGGTTTTCACACCTGATGATGATTGCTTGTGTTGCACTCGAAACGTCGTGATAATTTTATTGTTTTATATTTATTATTTTATTGTTTCCCTTCTACGTGACTTTACCGAAAGAACCAAGAATACAATTCACGTGTCGCTTTTAAATGCCGCTTGCCAACTCGGTTTGAAAGCATCCATGCGTTTGTCCGTAACGCGGTTTGGGGCGAGGGGGTTGGTTTACGATGACTCTCGTCAAGATTATCGGATAGAAATAAAATCTCAAGTTGCCAGCTGCCCCGCATTAACTTGCGCTTGGCTCAAGGCCTGTTAGGTGCCCCACTCCTCCTCCGCATTCCTCCCCAAGTTGACTCTCACCTTTGAAGGCCTTGAGCATCAGGCGCCCGCCCTTCAACCGCGCCGCGACGACGACCCGCGTGAAGATGCGTCTGGGCGCACAGGGGTGAACGGCGAGAGGATTCGTTGCAAAAGTCACTCGCAGCAGACGTAGCGCCACAGCTCACGCCGTCAGTAGGCTGGTCGCACCGTCAGTATCGTAATTGGCGATCACAGCGTCAGCATTCATGGCTTACGGCGCCATCACCGATATTATCATCACTCGCGGCAACATCGCTCACAGCATGCAGCGTCATCACAAATAATGATCACTCGGAGCAACATCGCCCACCGCGTACGGCATCATCACAAAATACCGCAGAGACTTGGCTCGTTACAGCATCGTCACCAATACTGTCATCGCTCACAGCATCAATCGTAGCGTCAACGTGAATGATAACATATCCCACATCACCTTCATTTCATTTGTTAAACATCGAGGCAAATGGGCGATGCAGGCTGGCGGGGCCATGTGGTTGGTGGTGGTTGACGGTGGTTGATATCAGTGGTGGTTGACGGTGGTTGATATCAGTGGTGGTTGATGGTGGTTGAAATCAGTGGTGGTTAACAGGCGTTGATATCAGTGGTGGTTGACGGTGGTTGATATCAGTGGTGGTTGACGGTGGTTGATATCAGTGGTGGTTGATGGTGTTTGATATCAGTGGTGGTTGACGGGCGTTGATATCAGTGGTGGTTGACGGTGGTTGATATCAGTGGTGGTTGACGGGGGTTGATATCAGTGGTGGTTGATGGTGGTTGATATCAGTGGTGGTTGACAGGCGTTGATATCAGTGGTGGTTGACGGTGGTTGATATCAGTAGTGGTTGACAGTGGTTGATATCAGTGGTGGTTGATGGTGTTTGATATCAATGGTGGTTGACGGTGGTTGATATCAGTGGTGGTTGACGGTGGTTGATATCAGTAGTGGTTGACGGGGGTTGATATCAGTGGTGGTTGACAGTGTTTGATATCAGTGGTGGTTGATGGTGTTTGATATCAGTGGTGGTTGACAGTGGTTGATATCATTGGTGGTTGACAGTGGTTGATATCAGTGGTGGTTGATGCTCGTGGCAGTTCACAGCGGCTGACGTTCTTGGCGGTTGACAGCGAGTGGCTGTAGTTGCCTCTGCTGCTGCTTGCTAGTTGTTGATGGTTGCTAGCTGTTGCTGGTTGTTACCGGCTGCTACTTGTTGATGGTTGCTAGTGTGCCGATGCTGCTGGACGTCGCCGCTGCTGGCTGTTGCTCGTTGCCGGTTGTCGGCGCTGATGGCGGCGGTTCGTTCGCCGGTGCGAGAGAGTCGCACGCGCGGACGAGGCCTCACCTCTCGGGCCACGGGTCCGATGCGCGTGTCCACGGTATCCAGGACATCCACCTCCTGCCGTGCGTCCTCCAGCGCTCCGCGGCACGCGACGTGCGACTTCCGATCGCCCAGAAGGCCACCACCTCGTACCGGTCCAGGTTCACGGACACCTGCTCTCACAAAAAGGCAACCTCGCTTGCATCGCCAGGGCAACACACGCGAGACGGCGGGCGGCACAGGCGGGGACGGCGCGCGTCATCGTCGGCGACAAACGGTAACGGGCTTGATGACCCCCGTGCCCCGACCGGATATCTGTGAGAAAAAAAAGAGCCTCATGGCTCATCGGATTTCTCCAGGATATACAAAGATTCTGATTCCGAGGCAGCCCGCACGCGACGGTGCACATCAGACGGGCGGACGGAGAAGATGGGGAGAGGGAGATAGCTCGATCCAAGATAAACACTTATTTGTCTTTTGTCCGAAAGCACGATGTCACACGTCAGCTCGTGCGCAGGTGCTGGGTGGAATTGTCGCGTTGCGGGATCGTGGGGGGGGGTGGGCGGCAGTGGCGGCGGTGGCTTCATCGTTGATCTTTTTGAAGAACGTAACGGCTGACCGATCGCGCGGCGGGAAAGATGTCAGCAAGAAGGTGCTTCTCCCACCGCCCGCACACTCGATAGCTACACCGCTGGTGTAGCAGCGCGAACTTGCGTGGCAAATCCGTATGTATGTTGAACTTCTTTCGCACCGTACGTAGCCAACCATGCTAACTGGAGGTGCAGGGGGGAAGGAAAACAAACTAAAAACAGTTTTACACCGATTAGACTTTGGCAACCAATATCATCCATAATAGAGCTTTTTTTCGGGTTACAGCGCGTAAATATAAACGTGTCCTTATACCTGCCACCACCCGACACCATCCGACACAGACAATTAGTAAGGTTTGTCACGTAAACAAAACGTGCCATTCAGTTACCAGTTCAGCACACTGGTGTTTGAGAGTAAACCAACAACATTTGCAATTGGAGTACGACGTTTCGCCAGTAATTAGAACCAGCCACATCAGGCGACAACCAGAATTGTGGAGAAATCCTCCTGTTTCGGTGTTACGCTCCAACACACCGGTGTGCTGAACTAAATGGCATGTTTACGTGACAAACCTTACTAATTGGCTGTGTCGGGTGGTGGCGGGTGTGACGACACATTTATATTTACGAGATCTAACCCAAACAAAAAAAAACGTCTGATAGAAAATAAAATCTGGCAACCCGAGTTTAATTCCCGGCCACGGCTAATGTCAGTGGCGGCAGTATCCCAACTGGTCGATCCGCGGAGGGGAGAGGGGGGGGCGGAGGGGGCCAGAGGAATTTTCACATACACATGACCAGAGGCTATGTCCTCTCCGTAACTAATCCGTAGCACATGACTCTCACATGGACGGGCAGGCACGCCGTGACACACAGAGTGAGGAGGGGACAGTGGGCGGGGGGGGGGGGGTTGGTAGAGTTGGTAGAGGAGGCTTGGGGAAGGAGTTGGCATCAGTGAGTGAAATCTGGACCACTACGGTTTGCCTGTGTGTGGCCGTTTGGGGAGCGGTGTTGTAAGCGGTTTCGCTACTACGCGACAGGCGCCGGAGACCCGAGTTCAACTCCTGGCCGTGGTAAACACCGGTGGCGCAGTCGTACAGTAACTGAACCCGTCCTTCACCCCCCCCCGAAGGTGAGTACACTCGGCCTCGAACGAGTCCCCGGTGTGGCGTGTAAAGCATCAGCACTGCGGAGAGGAAGGCGGCCGGGTGTCGTGCTGGCCACAGCACCCTAGTGTGTGCGTCTCCCCGTCCCGGCATAGGTGCTCGCAAACAGGACTTTGCGACCAACAGTCTATCGGGGCTACATCGGACGGCGGGGATACTGGTTCGGGCAGATTTTGGAGGTCGCGTTATCTTCTGTGCAGCAGCTACGCGCTCCGACGGAGGGTAGAAAGCAAGCGGCATCGCTGGCGATGGGATCTTGATCTCGGAGATGGTGCGAGGCTGGTTGCAGGAGCTAGGAGGACCTCTTCTCAAGGCGGTTCCGACGCCAGAGCCTCAACTCTGAGACCCAGCCCCGAGCCACTGCCGGCATCGTCCGTTGGGGACGGGAGGGATGAGGCTGCCATGGAGAAGTTTCTTCCTGCCTCCCTCCTCCTTGGACACGGAGGAGCGCCAACCGCTGCTGTCGCCAACCGCTCAGGTGCGCTTTAGGTGTGGTGGGAACACAACAGACTGGGTCACTCGTTCTGTCTAAACTAAAACTATAAAATGATGGGGTTTTTCCCCTTTTTTCTGGCAACAAAACTGAAACCTTTTTACGAGGAATCATGCGTGCATTAATCACAATACTTGTGGTCAAAATGGAAACAAAAAACACACTGATAACATATGGATTGTCCTTGAAACTGATTGTTCCATACCAGAGACGGCTTTTGGCGTCCTCTGGTCTCGCACCAATTGAGACGAGGCTCAAAAGAAAGCCGTCTCTGGTGTGGACCAATCAGTTTCAAAGACAATTCATATATTATCAGTGTTTTTTGTTTGCATTCTGACCACAAGTATTGTGGTTAATGCAGACATGATTCCTTGTAAAAAGGTTTCAGTTTTGTTGCCAGAAAAAGAGGAGAAAACCCTATTATTATATTTTGGTACTGGCAAAGAAGGTCTAATGATAAAACTATGAACAATGATTTATTTTACCAGGTAAGGCACACTGGCCTATATAGCTGCTTTTCATAAGCGACCTGGCTACCACAAATGATAGCCCAACGGAGTGGCTTATGTGTACATGTATAGCAGCCAAATACTCTAAACCTATGTTGATTCTCAATGTGGAGGTTAAAACCGAAGGACCTGGAGAAAAATCCACGCAACCACGGGGGGAACACGCAAACTCCAAATATATAGACGCCAGGGTCGTGATCGAACCCACGCCCTCCTGTATACCTGGCGAGGTAGTTAACATCTCCTAGCCACTGGGGGCTCCACGGTGGCGAGATCAGCAGGGAGCACGGCCGTGAGGACACATGGGCCACAACCGTCATAATGTGTGTTGGTTTTTGTCTCTATGAAGGCATTTACGATATTAATATCATCGTATTGCGGGAGGGCTCCTGGTGCCCGTGAAGAACTGCGGGGAGCAGGGGACAACTTCACGGATCCTGCCTGCCAATTTCAGAATCAGAACCTTTATCAGAATCACTATTTAGATGGGAGGAGGAATCCGATGAGCTATGCAGCTCTTTTTCTCCAGATGTCCAGTACGGGCGAGTCAGGTGATACATAGTGTGAGCAACAGCACCAGGGGGATAAGGAGGGCCACTTTTTGGCAACGCTTCTATCGATTCGGCCAGTTTTCATTTGGGTGAGTCCCTCCTCGCAACCACAATCTCAAGGTGAAGTTGCGTTCATATCGGACGATCTTTACAACAGTCATCATGTGCCGCCCACCCCGTTATAGATATACAGACGGACAGGTGAATGAATGGGGACAGCTGTGTAAAAAGAAAACCCATTAATTGTATTTGTACAATTTCGTTATAGAATCCGTGAGAAAGAATTAAAATATATTTTACTGGGGTATGCCGACTTACAAACATATATTTGGCACCCCATGCTTGGCCGAATAACATTTTAATGTTCTAAAAACCTGGACAACAATCGATTAAGTAACAAAGAAGGAGAATAATGCATTCGCATGGCTTCCTTAATGCTTTCCAACGTGCCTTTGTGCTTGGATGCATCTCATTAGCGATTGGAATGTTACGTATTAAGCCGCCTCGGCCGCTATATACCACGAATGCCAAGGAAACGTCTTTTTGGCGCTGGTTATTCTGCACGTATTTTTTGGGCAACCCTTTGATCAACGTGGCCGATTTACCATCGCCTATGTCCCTGATCGCAACTCAACCTTACGCCAACGTTTCCTCCGCATCGGATCACGCCTGCAAGAGTTATCGCGCCGTGCCACCACCCCGCAACCCATTACAGGCGGACAGAGCCAACGCATTCACGCTCACCAACCTTAGTTAGTTGGTAAGCGACACAAAACCTAAATCACTGGCAATTAGCTGGGAGAAGAAGCGGCCGATTGTCCGACCCAACAGACGCACGTCGGGACTTCACGGACAATCGCCACTACGCACTCGGCCAACAAACTACTCGGGCGCGAGTTGGGCTCCAGGTCCGGCTCACGAGCAGTCGGGGAGAGGGAGAAGTGGCGTGCAGTGGGTGTGTTGGCGGTGAACATGAGATGTGAGTGTAGCGGGTGTTGGGCGGGGGGGGGGTGGTAGTGACCGCAGCCTTCTGTCTTCGTCATCCTCTCACCCGCCACCCCCCTACCGGCACCCTCGCGACCTACAGAGCTGCTGGCCGGTCGCTCCTCCCCTCCCTGCCCAGACTGACAAAGGGCCAGAGCCCCTTTGCGTTGCTCAGACCACTCGCACCCGCAGCCTTAAGAATGCATTGTGGTTCACGGGACAAGGGGACAGGGGGGAGAGGGCGCAGGGGGGGGGGAGAGACAGACGCGGGCATCCGAGTTGTGTGCCGTGACAGCCAGCGGCGGTGCCGGTGGTCATGACGGGCTGCCAAGTCCTACGGTGGTCATTACCCCGACTGCCCATTGCCATATCCACACGTCGCCATATCGCAGAGTGAAAGTCGCGGCGATTTCCTGCTCGAGTGAGACTCGAGACCGTGCCCCGAAACCTCCGTTGCGGCCACGTGGCAGCCAATGGTGGAAATCCCCCATCGGCCGCCACAAGCACCTGCCAAGACAAAGATCCCCCGTACAGCCTCAACAGACTGTTAGCGGGTAGCACCTGTGAAGGCCGGCACGGCACACGAGGGGGTGGGTGGCCAGCACCACGCGCGGCCGCCTTTGCCTCCCCAGTGGCGATGTTTACACATCGCACCAGGTACTCATTTGAGGCTGAGTCAACCTAGGGGAGGCCCAGGACCAATTCAGAAAAATCGTCACCAGTGTTGGCCGTGAGCGGGAATCGAACTCTGGTCGCCGGGTTCAGAGTGCGAACCGCTCCCCACAACATCACCTCCCACCACCAAAACCACCACCACCAAAACCACCACCACCCATAACCAGCCACCAGCAGCAACAGTGGGAGCGCGTCTCTTGAGAGTGCCTCTGTTGGATTAATTTGACTGGGCGTGTTGCCACTGCCAGTCCTTTGCCACTGGGAGTGTCTCCGTCTGTGGTAATGAACGCCAACACCCCCCCCCAACCCCTCCACGCCGCTTCTCTCCTTTGTGCTTTGCTCCCCGCTGCCCGAGTCTGCCTCAATGAGTCGCTGGGGGCATCGCCCACGGAATGCTAAGTGACCCCCCCCCACCCCTACCACCACCACCACCACCACCAGACTCAATGGCTCGCATATTAAGGAGGTAACTTTATGAAAGTGCACCCAACCGGGATCGCTTTTGCAAAGTGCACCCAAGTGTTAAACATTCGCAGTGCTGGGACGTCATGGTTCACATTCGCAGTGATAACCAGGGCGCTTCATTTCTCACCGAGGGTTTTCCGGGAGTAGGTGGCGCGAGACGAAGCTAGCCACAGCCACTTGCGAGACGTGTACTGGACGTGGTGTGCCGGGTGCGGACATAGTTTGACTTCCCCAACAACCACTCGTCCACCACCACCACCACTATCACCATTATCACGACCACAACCACCACCATGATTCACTGTCCTATCACAATCATCACCACTACCACCACAGCCCATCAACACAATCACCACCAACATCCCTCCTATCAGCATTACCGCCACTACCACCACCACGACCACGAGCACTTCAAACACCCCCATCACCACCATTTCCTTGTCCCCTCCCACCACCACTGTCTCCACCACCCCCACCACCACTGTCACCACCACACCCACCACCACCACCCCCACTGTCACCACCACCACACCCCACCACCACTGTCACCACCACCACCCCCACCACCACACCCCACCACCACTGTCACCACCACCACCTCTTTCAGTCACTGCCTCCTCCTCCCCCATCACCACCCCCACCGCCACCCTTTCACTCCCGAGCTCCGTGAAAGAGTATCTTTTATTCTTCTGTTGCAACTGCTGCTTCTGCTGTAACTATTGCTGCTGCTGTCGCTGCCTCTGCTGCGGTTGCTTCTGCTGCCGCTGCTGCGGGAGTGTTCGTGAGGACATCAGCGGCGCTTCGACCAGTCTCCTCGCGTGTCCGCTCCGTCGCTTTGTGGCCACGGTACCGCTTGAACGAGGGGACACTTTCCATCTCAATGGACTCTCGCCGGGCCTGAATAAAGAGCACAGTTTCTACCCTGCTGTTGCTGCTGCCTCTGCTCCTGCTTCAGCCTCTGTAGTTCCTGCTGTTGCTGCTGCAACTGATTTTGATCCAGCTGCTGCTTCCGTAACTGCTGACGCTTCCATAACCGCTGATGCTGCTTCTTTAACTGCTGCTTCTCCTGCTGCCGTTTCTATAACTGCGGTTGCTTTTTCTACCGCTGCAGGTTCTATAACTGCTTCTGCCACTGCGTTCTCTGCTCCTTCGATACAACTGCTTCTGTTGCTTCAACAACTGTTGCTTCAACAACTGCCCGTGTAGCCTCTGACGCTTCGACAGTTACCATTGCTATCTCTGGAAGTGCTTCCGCTGCTTCAATACAACCGCCTCTGTAAACGTTGCTGCTGCTTCTCTGCTCTTCCAACTGATTCTGCTTCCCGCTGCTCTTGCTGCTGCTGCTGCTGCCCATCCGCTTCTAGAGCCTCAGCCGCCGCGTCTGCCACCGCTTGCTTGCGCCGGTGGTCAGCATGCGCCTCGCCGCGCCCCGCACGGAGCCGCCGGCGATCGTCGCATCCCCGACCGGTGCCGCCGTAGCTCGAAGCTAGCGATCCCCGTTCCCCACCTCTCCTCCCTCCTCCTCCTGGGGGTCCCAGCGGCAGCCGGGCCCGTCCCGGTGCCCCCCACCCAGCGCCGGGCGCCCCCCACGATGAGCAGATGCCGGTCGAGAGGTCGCCTCGCATTGTGCTGCCGGGTCTGCAGGTCTCCGCTCCGCCACGCGAGGCCAAGGGGCGGCCCGAGGGGTCCGCGGAGGATGTCACGGAGGTCGGAGAGGTCGAAGAGGACAGGCCGGCTGGGGAGGTCGCCCCCGCGAGCCTCGCGGCGCGGTGGGTCACGGCCAGGGTCCGGCTCCGCGCTTGGCTCGCACTCGGGCGCTCCAAAGCTCAGGAGCACCGGCACCATCGGCGGCATCAGCAGCAGCAGGGCCGCAGCCAACGTCGACACTCTCTACCGCAGCACCGGTATCACCGGCATCACCAGCGGCACCACCGGCGCGGCGGTCCTCGCGTCAACCTCTGCGCCAAGTACTCGCTCTTCTGCTCGCAGTTCCTCGTGGCGGCGCTCAGCTGCCTGACGCTCGCCGTGTCGCTATGGGGACTCGCGGACAAGGAGCGATTCTCCTCCTCCTCGGGAGGCGCCGACGGTGGCGCCGCGCTCCTCCCCGCCGACCCGCTGCTCATCCCGCTCCTCGCCGGCGCCGGCTCGGCCGCGCTGGCGGCCCTGGGCTGCGCGGGGTCGCTCCGGGAGAGGCCCCCGCTGCTCCGGGCCTTCGCGGCCGGGCTCGGGGCGCTGGTGTGCGCCGAGGCCGTAGGGGCGCTGGCGGCGTACGGGGCGAGGGAGTGGGTCGGCGAGGCGTTGGCGCGAGGGGTGGCAAGGGGGGTGGAGCGCTACCGGGACGACCCGGACGTGAGGTTCATCGTGGACGAGCTGCAGCGCGGCCTGCGGTGCTGCGGCGCCGCATCGTACCGCGACTGGGAGAGGAATGTGTGAGTGGTGGGCAGTCAGGGTCGGGTTTTGCAAAATAGCCAGCCTGCTCGGATGCCCCTCTGGAACGCTCTTCCTTCAAACATTAGGAAGCCACTGGAACTATGCACTTTTTCATATAGATTGAAAACTCACCTATTTACAACTGCTTTTTGTGTTTAGTTTTTTGTCCATCCCCACCCCCCCACCCCCGTACCTCCGATTAGCCATGGCTGGCTACGTACGATGTGAAAGAAATTCAACATGCACATATTATACGCACTGCTCTTGCTCGCCGCTTTGTTCAACCGCTCTGATCCCGGATCCGTCTTCAATAACTGCCCCCCCCCCCCTCCCCGCCGGTTGCGCATATGCTGCAGTGTTTCTTTCCCATTCGTGGAAAATTCTGTGTGTCCCGCCCCCACTGACATTTCCCCAAACAAAAGGAAAAACTTTTCTTTTGTTTGGTAAATTCGCTGGAAGAAGCAAGTTGGTACGTGCCTTGGCGAGACTCGGCGCGGCTCTCTCCCATATAAATAAACTCGACGTCGTTAGTGACTTGCTCTTGTTGTTTCAGTCACGTGACGGCACGTACACCGTCCAGCCGCGACATGGAGCGTCGGGATCGGGTTCATGTGCAGCAGTGAGATGGACGGGCGCAGCACCGCACCGTGCCATGGGGAGGCCTTTATCCAGCAGTGGATAGGCAATAGTAACATTGCGTTAAAAAAAAAAAATTTGGTTCCTGGGTAGTAAGTGTTATTTACTAATTGCTTATGTCTCCAAAGTACAGTAAATGGCTATTATTCCCCACAAACTTTGCTTTTGTGACCAGGACAGTGATATTTTGAAATGTACATATTGTCAATGAGAAAACGTGGTGTGCATTTGTGTCGTTCCTTCACGTAAAGTCCTGGTCACAAAAGCAAAGTTTATGGGGAATAATAATACCCATTTTATATAGTTTTGAGGCATAAGCAATTAAAAAATAACACTTACTACCCAAGAACAAAAATTGTGTTACATAGTGTAATCATGATCATCATCACACGTACACGTATTTATTGCACCATTCGCATACCGCAAGGTTATGCTTCACAGACAGGTATAGTCTGCAGTAGAGGGTGATGTTGCTCTGCGTTTTTTTTTTACCCAATTGGCCATGGATCCAGGGTGACTTTCAAACTCGGCAGATTTGGTTCGGCGCACACGACCCGCGCATCTACGCACGATGGCAAAAAATTATTAACCGGGGCAGCCACTGGGCTCGAACCGCAAACCTTTTGCAACGAGCTGTAAACGGGCTTCCCGCTCGGCCGTGTCACCGCCCACGATGCCAACGATGATGATTTTCTTTCTCCGCCACCGCCGCACCTCTACCCCCACCCCCCACCACCCCCACCACCACCACCACCACAGCTACTTCAACTGCAGCTCGCCGGGCGTGCAGGCGTGCGGCGTGCCGGCCTCCTGCTGCCTGCCGCAGATCGACGGCGAGGCCGCCCTACCGGACCCGGTGGTCAACTCGCAGTGCGGCTACGGGGCGCTGCGCGTGAGCGAGGCGGAGGCGCTGGCGCGCGTGCACGCCGCGGGCTGCGCGGCGCGCTTCTCCGCGTGGTTCCACACCAACGCCGGCGGGCTGGGCGCCGCGGCCATCGCGCTGCTGTCGGCGCAGGTGGCGGCGCTGGGGCTCGCGACCAAGATGCTGAGCGACATCGAGATGGTGAAGGCGCGCTGGTGAGGGCTCAAAGTACGCGGGCGGCGCGCGAGTCAACGTTGACCGTCACCGTGTCACCGTCATCGTCACCGTCATCTCCATTGCATCGAGATGATGAAGGCGTGGTGGTGAGGCCTTCAGTGGCTACTCAACCATCGACGCCTTCGAGGCCACTGTGCTACGCACAAACAGGTCGCCATTAAGAAGGCTACGGAGGTGTGGTGCGTGGTGAGCAGAGTCGTTGAAATCCACTGCTGTGCCGTACTTCCACGCTTCCGCCTTTTATGCTCCTCGTCCTTTACCAACAGCCGCATCGGCCACCGTGGTGAAGCGTGATAAGATAATACGTAAGCCCCATGACCCGCATAGCTGTGCGCGGAAGAGGCCCTCATCCGGCAGTGGATTGACGAAGGAGGCTGTACGTGTAGACGCCGGAGCGTTGCCCCATTCGCAGAGCAGTTATGACCACGCGTCGCACATGTATGTACAGTACAACCTTGGATTGCGAGTAACTTGGTCTGCGAGTGTTTTGCAAGACGAGCAAATTTTTTAAATAAATATTAACTTGATAAACGAGCGAGGGTCTTGCAATACGAGTAGTGTACGTATACGCTTTGTCTGCCGAGCGTCACGTGATCACAACTGATATACGAGTGCTTTGATATACGAGTGCTTTGGATTACAATCACGTTTCCGGAACGAATTATGCTCGCAATACAAGGTTTTCCTGCAGTTACAGAGCTACTCACAGCCTCTCCTCGCTTAATAAAACACCTCCGTAACAAAACGGGTAAGAAAGGTCACACGCACACGCAGGCAATCTTAGAAGATTTCCAACACCTCTTTGCACACGGGTAGTTGGTGAGCGACAACAATGGTAGGTTGTAAGCCACACGGGGAGATGACGTCGCATGTTATGATGCCATGTAGCGATCGTACCACCGTGTAGGATTTAACGGTTGTGCTCCACGTGGATCGAAACGTCGGACACCGAAGCCGAGCGACGCGCGGTACAACCTGGCAACGCACCGCGGAGGCTACGCAGCAGCACCACCCGCGAAAATCCACTCAGTCATGTTAACTGTCGCTAATCTTCACGCAGCACCGTCGCTCACGGGGGATGGAAGATCGCACACCGGAGAACTAACCCTTAAATCAATTTGCATCATCTTTATGAGAGTTACCGTGCCCCACTCATCGCAGACAGACGGACGGACGGACGGACTGACTGAGTGACGTGGCAGAGCTAATGGCACCCACGCTTTTCAACCTTACGTCGGAAAGCTTTACGGAAAAAAAACACATCATACGGACCACACCCGGGGATGGAACCCACCCACCCACCTGCGGCCCGTCGAGCGGGTGGTGGCGCGTCAAGGCGTGGGCGACCGCTTCGTCCGAGAGCCGGGAGAAGTTTGCGGCGTCGGCCAGCTCCGCCAGACGGCGCAGGAAGACCGAGAGGCGGCCCTCGGGCTCTGTGAGGGCCGCCCTGGTCAGGGCCAGCGAGGCCTCCTCCTCGGCCTCCCAGTCCAGGTCCCACTCCTCGGCCTCCTCGTCCTCCCAGCCGCGCCCTCGGTCGAGGGAGGGCCTCCCCGGGTGGGTCAGGGTGTCGCGGTCTGGGTTCAGAGGCTCGTACAGCATCTGTGAGCCGGCACCGGGGCGGGGAGGCTCAAGATCACCCGATGGGCGGGGGGGGGGGTCGCCGCGGTACCGCACAAGGATATTTTGAGAAAAAACGAGGGAGCCGCCGGTGGAGTTGTTGGCGCACAGGCGCAAAATGACAAACGCTCGAGGGGGCGACCCGGCCGACGAGCATCTTGATTGTCCGGCAATGGTTCCCGTATTTCGCACGCAATTTAGATCAAGAGCATTTCGTGCAGTTTCCCCAAAAGTGTTTGGAACCACCGCTCAGTTTTGTCTCCTTTGGCATCTCCATTCTGCCCTCTATATCCTCATTTACGCTTGCTCACTTAAAAATCACCGAAGGTTGAAAGTGTGGATGTAATCTTACGCCAAGATAGCTGTTGCTAAGTTTTTTTTTGTTGTTGTCTGTAACCGATGAATGCTGCGTTGTTGTCTGACGGATGAGTCGCCCTTGAAAAAAAGAGCGCCCTAGCTCGGCAGGCTCTTTATTCGGGGTGCGAAATAAACTTCTGAAGCCGATGGAACTCGCGTGCGGTTTCCAACCGGTTTGGGGCTGCGTTTCGAGGGTTTGCCACGCACCACTACTGCGGGGGGCATCTTCAGGAGTTTAGAATTTGGGAGAAGGAAGCCCAACCCAGGCACGTGGATAATAACTCGGATTTGAAAACCAGAGCGGTGAAAAACTCAACACGTTCATCGGTCACACTGCCCCGAGGAGGACTAAATATACAATAGGAGACGTTTCACGAATGGTCCATCCTTCTGTTATGAAGTTGGGCCGTTGCCCCGGAATGTCAACTCTGGTAAATAAACAGTAAGGTCTCAGAGTACGCGGGCTCAAGAGCACGTGGACCCGCTCATACGCGACCGACCCCGATTCATTCTCACACCTTGTGACTCGTACTTTCGCCGCACGCACTGGGGCAGAAAGCGAGGAGTCAAATCACCCTCCCCACCATCCACGCGCACGTGGATTTGACGGGGTGTAAACCGTATCGCCCGCGCCAGAAACGAGTAAAAAAAAAAACCTATCGTGTTCTAATCTATTGTTAACAAAATATAGTGTTAATAATCGTCTAGTGTTCGACCTGACCTGGATGCTACCGATGATTAGTGAATCATTTGCCGTACAGTACTGTCCTTTATTAAATAAGATGTACATTGAAAAAAATTGTATATTCACTCTTACATTTTATATACTACACTCGTGCAGTAACATAACAGTGTAAAGTAGTATATAGTAATATGAGTATAAAGTAGTGCATAGTAGTATACAGTTTTGTGTATAAAGTGTATGCACTCGTACAGGCGAATCACAGCTTACGAGAATTTGCGCTTACGCGGCGGTACACGGAACCTAACCCCCCCCCCCCCCCCCCCCCCCCCCCCCCCGCGTACTCTGAGACATGAGTGTAGATAATGTCCCTCCCTCTTCAGGGCAGTGTCGTTTACTACGAATGTACGACGATCATACCGTCTTGTTTTTTTTTTGCAATAGGTCGTTATACATCGTTGCTTCATCGTGTTTTCCTCAGATCGTTTATTTCATCACAAAATACCCTGGGAAGTAACAAACGCTATAAATAAAATTATACTTCCGGGGTGGAAATGGACGGGATGGGTCCCCACTTCACTCCTTGCGAGCCGTGGGTCGACGCTAACCACGCCACCATGCTGACATCTGCAGGCTCGGCCCCGCTTAGCTTACGAGATCTGATGTTGATTATTATTATTATCATGATGTTGATTATTATTATTATCATCTACTTGTGTTCAGCACAATGATCCCGCGAGGGCCTTGAGGAGCCCTCCCTCGCGTCTTTAGCGCAGACTTGAAGGAGGTTTACAGGGCATCACGGCCCAGTCGAAGCGACCTCCTCCTGCTGCTGCTGCTGCTGCTCAAATGAGCAGTGAGACATTGGTGCTCATCTCCCGTTTACAGCCCTGAGACAAGAGGCGGAAATTCCACATTACTGTGGCGGGGTCTATCCATAGGACGACAACCACCGTCGACTGCCCTAGAAAATTCGCACTAAATTGATCGACCCCAGAGGGTTGGTAACCCTCAACCAGGATTTTGACTCAAAACATTACAATTAACCACCGGACCGGTTATAGGGTGTGGTGCTTGTGTTTGTTTGCGTGATCAACTGCAATTCCTGGGCCCCGCCTGTTTGCATGCTTTATTAAAGCGAAGAGCATCATTACGTTGGTGTCACGTGCAATGCTTTGGCACACACACACAACACGAATGTATATACAAACACTGTGGATGATTATGAACGCACTGTATTTTAATAATATCTTGTTTCGGCCCGGCACACCACATCCAGTATACCCCTCGCTATGGCTGTGGCTATTACTAATCACGTGCCACCCACTCCAGTCTACCAATGGCCTGGATAAGATTCTGCGAGGGTTTAAGCCCCGAGCTTGCTCAAGGGGTGGAGTGGCGGCGGCGGAGTGGTTCGCATCCTGCATTCTGAACCTGGTGACCTAAGTTCAATTCCGACCCACGGCTAACATCAGTGGCGAGTGATATCTGAACTGGTCCTGGTCATACCCCCCTCCCCAGCTCCTCTGCCAGAACCACAAAGACAAAGATCCCCCGTGTAGCCTTAACAGACTGTAGGGGCAAGTGCTGTTAGCGAGCAACCTATAAAGGCCGGCACGGCACACGAGGGAGTGGGTGGCCAACACCACGTCCGGCCGCCTTTGTCTCCCTAGTGGCAATGTTCACACATCGCACCAGGTACTCATGTGAGGCTGAGTCGACCTAGGGGAGGCCCAGGACCGGTTCAGATAATCGTCACTGGTGCTGACCGTGAGCGGGAATCGAACCTGGGTCGCCAGGTTCGTAGCGCAGCGTAGCGCTAACCGCGAAGCTACCACCCCCCCCCCCCCCCTACTCACCACCACCCCCCCGGCTCCCCCTGACATTTATAGAAACCCACACCGACCATCGTGGTGAAGTATGGTCAATCAACCTCGCACGACCAACACTGTACCGAGAGGTCATCATCCACAGGGCCGTTACTTTTTCATTTATGTGGAATACGTGCCTTTAGCAGAATCCATCTCAGCGTGCTTTACATGTCACATATTCCCCACACTCCCGTGTACAAGAATGCCAGAATCTCAATCGCGGAGGCCATGACCTCTCAATTAAAATTTTCGTCAGCGGAAGGATGAGTATGCTATTGTTCACCTGGTTTCACCCTAGTTAGCACTCACCGCTGCCATTACTGCCGAAATACTGTGCTGCCATGTGGCGGCGGGGCCTGAATAGCGCTCTGAACCGCCCCTACTGGACATCTGTGAAAAAGAGCTTCATAGCTCCTCGGATTCCTCCAGCATAAATAAATATTATATTTCTGTTGGCAGACCCCTCCACGCAGCGCAAATAGCTGTCTAATTAGAATTTTTTTCAGAATAGACGACGCCGTTACAGACGCCCTGAATCAAAATGACGCACTCTAGCGCAGTGCCGACGACTCGCTCTAGATGACAGCGCTGGGCTCTCGTCAGCAGGGCACACTAACTAGCGCAGGAGTGCTCAAACTCTGCTCCACCCTGTCCGATCTTGAGCTGCCAAGTTTACTTTGTTTAAGCAGGTGAGACCAGGAAGATCGTTCTCTTACTTTTAACTTCAGCGATGAAACCACGTTGCAGGGTCGCCCCTTACTGCCAGAATATGACCCATTTGCAGGCCGGTGATGCGTACTCCCTTGTTCCACGTAGGCATGGCTGCCACTGGGGCCCCCCAATGCTAGACTGCCACATGGCAATATAATTGAGATGGGATGTGATGTAAGGCGCTTTGAGATGCTAAGTCATTTAAGCACATGTCCTAGAAATGCAAATCCTTATCCTTAATTCCTTTAAGTTGTCAAGCAGCACGTTATTTAATTTATTTACCCATTCGCCTCTTTCCTAACATCCTTCCTCCAAGAACTTCCGTCATTAAGCTTTCACTTCTGAAAATGTATCCAGCGCACATCTGTGGCCTTTTTTAGATCATCATACACAGCATCATCGCATACAGCGTCGCCAGCATCATCGCACACTGCATCATCACAAGCTGCATCATTACGCACAGCAACATCAACAGAAATTCCTTCAGCAAGCTTTCACCTCTGACCATGAGCCCAATCCACGTGTTTAGCCATTCTCCATTGTGCGCTTAAGCGGCAGGGTTGGTCGCGGAGCAGCTGGGCTGGGCTGGGTGCTGGTACCTGGATCTCCTCCAGTGTGGTGTGATAGTACGGCAGCAGCGCCGAGTCCAGGGACTCGGAGAACTTCCAGAAGTCTTCTCGCTCGCCTTCGGGCAGATCCTGCGCCGGAGAGGATGGCAAAATGCGACGCGGGGCCCACGGGGACAATCAGAGCACAGGATAGCCTGGACCAAACCCTCGATCTAGCTAGTCCTGAGGGCCGAATGAGACTTTAAAACACCAATGGCGGGCAACCAGCCACTTCTGTCACTGCAAGATGTGACCGAGTGTGTTTACTCCAGTTTATCCAGGCAAAAATAATTTCCCTCTAGTACCCAATCAGTGCAGCCGAGATGCTTGCAATGATGCATAACATTTGGAAGTGGTAGGCGTCATGCAACAGTGGGCCGCATGAAATAAAGTCAAGGGGCAGTATCTCATACAGGATCACGGCCACGTGAGGCCTACCAATTCTAAACGGCCCACAAGCGACATTTATCCGCCACTGCAGGCGTCTTAGCCGAGAGAGAATGAGTGCAAATGCCCTCCTTTCACCCCTCTCCCAGGCCTCTGCCACCCCGTCAGGAAGATACTCCCCACCTCTGCTGTAGGTATGACCAATGGCGGAGCCAGGATTTTCAGGTGGGGGGGGGGGGGGCAACCCCTCCAGCAATGAAAAATGACAGAGGAGTTGTTCGTAAGTAAGGAGTTGTTAGTAAGTAAGGAGTTGTTAGTAAGCAAGGAGTTATTAGTAAGCAAGGACTTGTCCCTTGCCTTTTTATTCGGCGCGTGTGCGGCGATGGCGCAGCCATCGATCGAGGGTCGAATTCGAACCGCGTTGTGTGATCGGCATCGCGCTCGCTGAAGGTGTTTGCCTTCAGGGAAGTCGTGGACTGTATACGCAATTGCGCACAATTCTGTGAGTCTCTTATAACTGCTTTGCCGTTACTTATTGCCAATTATGGGACTCAGACTATTGCAGACTATTGTCCTATCATCTCATAGAGTCCCTGGCACGTAATAATATGCTACACAGTGGCAGTAGGGGTCGCAAAATGCTGGGGGGGCACGTGCCACCCCATCCCCCCCCCCCACTGGCTCCGCCAATGGGTCCGACCATGTCCGTCCAGTGATCGCTGAGTTGCATTGGCTTCCGATTGCGGAACGAATACATTATAAGGTCGCACTGATTACACACAAAGTGCTTGGCTCAAATGAACCACATTACTTTGCTGATCTCGTCAAGGAGCAAAAATCATCACGCGATTTGTGGTCATTCTTGCAGTGGATTTTGGCTAGCCATTGAACAAAGACGGCCACCTCATTGCGCACTTTCAGATACGCTTCTGCGGCCGTCTGGAACGGTCTACCTTCCGATATTCGGAAGCCACTGGAGCTTTGCACTTTTAAATCAACTACATTGAAAAATAATTTCCTTAAAATTGTTTTTGTGTGTGTTTACTTTGTTGCCCTTCCCCCCGCACCTCCGATTAGCACAGTTGGCTACGTACGGTGCGGAAGAAGTTCAACATACATACAGACGTAGGCCCACACCTTCGCGAGCATCGACGTGAGCTTGGCCCTCGTCACGGGAACGTATCGCTCCGTGTAGGTGCTGTGCGCGCCATCTCCCACCGCCTCCCTCCTCCTCCGCGTCCTCTTCGCCTCCTCCACCTTTTTGACCAGACTGGCGACGTCACCCACGACCTCCGAGGTCTCTCTTGCCCCGGTAGAGGCCTCGCTAAAGCTACGCGACCTGACCCCGGCGAAGGTCACGGCCGCCAACCTCTTGGCCACGACTCTGGACGCGACCTCTCGCATGCGCAGCAAGGAGAGGCAGGCGCAGGGCATGACGATGGGGTGTAGAGGTCGGCGCTCCGAATCTGCGGGGAAACGGGGATGGCAGAGGCAGGGTATTAGGTAGACTTGTATCGATGTGTCAAATCATTGATCGTTCTCAATGTCTGGGTGCGTAACGATTGACGTCTTTCCCCCAGGCGATTCGACGAACCGTCACGATTTAGAATAGCGGGTTCATTCAATAATTGAGTCTTTCATCGTCTGATTTTAGTTTTTTTTTACCTTTCATTTGAACAGTTTCGTTTGCTCCATTGGCCTAAACGTAACGCCAGAATATCTACTTCATATGTGCACAAATGGTACATATCCAATTGTGGATTCAATGCATGTATCACCAAAGTAAACATCCATATTAATCCATTAGTTTACTCGTGATGATTTAACCGTTGAAGTGATGGAATGTTGTATTTCTAGCGCTGATATGCCGATACATGGACAATTCACATATACCTGCTGGGGATGCTTGTCACCTGCTTGTTTTAATGTAGCTGTCTAAATCCAGATCACTAAGGTTCTAGACTGTCGTAATGATCAATATCCTTTACAGCCGTTTGCCGACGTTTCACGTGGCCTTTTTATCTCTCCGCACTTGGTGGCACACGTGACTGCACACTCCACTATGCGGCCAGCTGCTGTTGTCAAACCAACATAAATATGAACAAGAAGCACTGGGCCTTTGCACTTTACGCAAACAAACAGAAAAAAAAATCCACGTGTTTTTAAACTTGTGTTTTTTTGGGCCTATGATATTTTTGTCCGATAAGATGGGTTTTGTCGCATCCTTGAGAGGGTTTAATATTCTCAAGTGCCTGAATTTGGCCACGGCAATTTAAACATATTTCATTTACGGCTTTTGCGTGCAGTTATTCGTGACCCGGCTGAGACATTCAATTAAAATATTTTTGCGCGTGCTCACAATTTATGATCCTTCAGTCGGTGTTGGCCGCTGATGGGTTTATTTATCTCATCCCTGTTGCTGCTCCGTGCCCCCTGTAATGATTCCCATTCCACTGTAATGTCCACTGACGCCCACTTTATTGAGGGCTATAATTGGCACGTAAAATCAAGGTTGGTTGATTGAAACACACCTGAGAAGCCAGCTTAACCGCTGGTGTCTGAAACCTGGGATGAAACCCAGGTGGTACACGAAAGTGTTGGCTCAGCGCTCCGACCTCTAGGCGTTCTTGGCCTCCCTTGCTGGAGTGGTAAAGGTTTTTGTTGGAGTGATACTGTATCAACGCTTTGTAAAGAATGTTTGCCTCGAGCTCAACAAATGTGCAGATTTGTGAACAAGTTTACGAGCCAATGTGACAAGTTCAGAAACACTTGACACACCGGTTGAAGGTCGCATCAGCACAACATCATCACCACCTCCGTGGTGACAATTCAACGTTGATTTTTTTTTCATTCTTCAGGAGGTGCAAACCCCCACCATAGCAACGTGGAATTTATACGACTGTACAATGGTTGACTGAGTGGGGTGACTGAGTTTTGGTGATTTGTGATACGGGCGGCTGTAGGGACAGGGGGCGGAGAGAGATGCAAGCAGCTGCCACTGCCATCCATTAATTTGACCTCAGTGGAGACAAGCCAGCAATGAAAACAACAAGGGAGGTGACATCAGGGGAGGTGACATCAGGGGAGGTGACATCAGGGGAGGTGACATCAGGGGAGGTGACATCAGGGGAGGTGACATCAAGAGAGGTGACACCAAGAGAGGTGACATCAGGGGAGGTGACATCAGGGGAGGTGACATCAGGGGAGGTGACACCAAGAGAGGTGACATTAGGGGAGGTGACATCAGGGGAGGTGACACCAAGAGAGGTGACATCAGAGAGGTGACATCAGGGGAGGTGACACCAAGAGAGGTGACACCAGGGGAGGTGACATCAGGGGAGGTGACATCAGGGAGGTGACATCAGGGGAGGTGACATCAAGGGAGGTGACACCAGGGGAGGTGACATCAGGGGAGGTGACATCAGGGGAGGTGACATCAGGGAGGTGACATCAGGGGACGTGACATCAGGGGAGGTGACACCAGAAGAGTGACACCAAGGGAGGTGACACCAGGGGAAGTGACATCAGGGGAGGTGACATCAAGGAGGTGACACCAAGAGAGGTGACACCAGGGGAGGTGACATCAGGAGAGGTGACATCAAGAGAGGTGACACCAAGAGAGGTGACACCAAGAGAGGTGACATCAAGGAGGTGACATCAAGAGAGGTGACACCAGGGGAGGTGACATCAGGGAGGTGACATCAGGGAGGTGACCTCAAGGGAGGTGACACCAAGAGACGTGACATCAGGGACGTGACACCAAGAGAGGTGACACCAAGAGAGGTGACATCAAGGAGGTGACATCAGGGAGGTGACATCAGGGGAGGTGACATCAGGGGAGGTGACATCAGGGGAGTGACACCAGGGGAGGTGACACCAAGAGAGGTGACATCAAGGGAGGTGACATCAGGGGAGGTGACACCAAGAGAGGTGACATTAGGGAGGTGACACCAGGGGAGGTGACATCAGGGGAGGTGACATCAGGGGAGGTGACATCAGGGGAGGTGACACCAAGAGAGGTGACATCAGGGAGGTGACACCAGGGGAGGTGACATCAGGGGAGTGACATCAGGGGAGGTGACATCAGGGGAGGTGACATCAGGGGAGTGACACCAGGGGAGGTGACATCAAGAGAGGTGACACCAAGAGAGGTGACACCAGGGGAGGTGACACCAAGAGAGGTGACACCAAGGGAGGTGACATCAGGGAGGTGACATCAGGGAGGTGACACCAGGGGAGGTGACATCAGGGGAGTGACACCAGGGGAGGTGACATCAAGGGAGGTGACATCAGGGGAGGTGACACCAGGGGAGTGACATTAGGGGAGGTGACACCAGGGGAGGTGACACCAGGGGAGGTGACACCAGGGGAGGTGACATCAGGGGAGGTGACACCAGGGGAGTGACATTAGGGGAGATGACACCAGGGGAGGTGACACCAGGGGAGGTGACATCAGGGGAGGTGACACCAGGGGAGGTGACACCAGGGGAGGTGACATCAGGGGAGGTGATACCAAGAGAGGTGACATCAAGAGAGGTGACATCAGGGAGGTGACACCAAGAGAGGTGACATTAGGGGAGGTGACACCAAGGGGTAACAGGAAGGCGAATCGGTAGCGCGCAAGACAGCTGGAACGAGATACAGCAGAATACAAGCAACAGCCAGGGAGACAGCAGTAGCGACAGCAGGAATACATGGCAAGGTACCGTAAAATCATCAGAACCAGGCACAGACAACAGCAGCAGTAGCAACGACATCAAATGTACATTGAAGCCTTGTGCACAATGACTGCAACAGCAAAGACAAGATCACAGCAGCAACACGCATAGCTTGACAATAGCTACAGTACTGTATACACTACAGCGTATACAGCGCGCCACGTGCAGTACTGTACGTACACATACACATGGCACATGTTGTGTGTGTGCATACATACACAGCTGTGTGTGTGTGTGTATATATACACACAGCATGGATACATACACACAGTACACACATCACACACCCAGCTTTGAGAGTTCACACAGCACATGCTGTGTATGTACACTGTGCGTGCTGTTTATAGTATGCATGTCGTGTGTGTGTGCATACATACACACATCTGTGTGTACATACATACACACACAGCATGGATACATACACACAGTACACACATCACAGACCCAGCTTTGAGAGTTCACACAGAACAATGCAGTACTCAATACATCCAGCATATGCACAGTGTGTATAGCACACACACACACAATGTTACACTGTGTAGTGTGTGCGTACACACACACAGCATGCGTACATACATACACACAGCATGCGTACATACATACAGTCCACACATCATCCATATACAGCAAACACAGAGTACGCAGCGAACACCCCACAGCATAAACACACAGCACGCGACAGTACACACACAGCACGTACAGTTCACACACACACGACGCGTACAGTTCACACACGCAGCAAGTACAGTACACACACGCAGCACGTACAGTACACACACGGCGCGTACAGTTCACACACGCAGCACGTACAGTACACACACGCAGCACGTACAGTACACGCGCGCAGCACGTACAGTGCACACACACGCAGCACGTACAGTACACACGCAGCGCGTACAGTACACACACACGCGGCATACGCACCACAAGTATTTCCCTCCTCGTCTAAACCTCCTCAGCCTTCTCCTCCACACGCTCGGGGCAAAGCAGCTCGGAGATAGCACGGACGTTCCTGCTGTTGCTGCTGTTTGCTGTTGTTATTGTTGTAGCTATTGTTGTTATTGTTGCTGCTACTGCTGTTGCTGCCGCTACTGCTGGGAGTGCCGTAGTCAGCAGCAGGCAGGCTCGGTTATACTGGATCCATTAAAAATAGATCGGTCTAGCTCCTCCAATCACTCACACTCCACACAGGGGGGTCACTGTGTCTCACTCAGTCACTCTCACTCCCCACAGGGGGGTCACTGTGTCTCACTCAGTCACTCTCACTCCACACAGCGGGGGGGTCACTGTGTCTCACTCAGTCACTCTCACTCCACACAGGGGGGGTCACTGTGTCTCACTCAGTCACTCTCACTCCACACAGGGGGGGGGGGGGTCACTGTGTCTCACTCAGTCACTCTCACTCCACACAGGGGGGGTCACTGTGTCTCACTCAGTCACTCTCACTCCACACAGGGGGGGGGGGGGTCACTGTGTCTCACTCAGTCACTCTCACTCCACACAGCGGGGGGGTCACTGTGTCTCACTCAGTCACTCTCACACCACACAGGGGGGGGGGGGGTCACTGTGTCTCACTCAGTCACTCTCACACCACACAGGGGGGGGTCACTGTGTCTCACTCAGTCACTCTCACTCCACAGGGGGGGGGTCACTGTGTCTCACTCAGTCACTCTCACACCACACAGGGGGGGGTCACTGTGTCTCACTCAGTCACTCTCACTCCACAGGGGGGGGGTCACTGTGTCTCA